AATCAGGGCAATGAACAATAAAATCAAACTACTAATTTCAGTTATTCTATGTCACAGAGGATATTCTAAATGCAATTTTAAATGGCAACTCCACCAAAAACACTTTATATGTAATTTGGAAACAAGCCTAAAAATGATACCTGTTCCAAGTTCAGTATGGCCTATACTCAACCAGGAGCTGGGAATGATGATTTATGGCGGAAGCAATATACACGGCTAGACTGGGGTTCCCATAGCAGTGTTGAGAAGTGATTCATTACAATGAACTGGGGAGACTCAAATATACTCACAACTTCACAGGCCTCAACTAAAAGCACAAAACAAGAATTTTACGGGGTGGGGCCTCAGCATCTGTATTTACTTAAAGGTGACTGAAGTAGACAGTAGATGGCTATGTGGGACCCACTGATTAGGAGAATGAATGAGGAGGGTAGGATGGGGAGGACCATCAGCAGTCAGCCAAGGCTCTGGCTTCCTTCCTATTTTCCCCCTACCCTACGGTTCTGGAAGGGAAGGGAAGAGCATCATCTCAATTCTCAGTGCCTCTACCTTATGAATGATACACTTAGCCTCTGCTTCTCCATCATTTAAAAATCTGTGTCATCTGTATTTGTCACTCTCCTTTCTTTATATCTGCATCATGGCTCCAGCTGTTCCACAAAACTGCACCTTCAGATTCTACTTACAACAATCTTTCCCTTCATTGCCTGCATTTTGATCTTTATTATTTACTGTGTTTTGCCAACTTAAAAACTGCTGTGACTCAACAGGTGTCACGCATCTTCATAGGTACTCGAGGTGAACCCCACCCCCTAAAGTCAAAAATCCTCATCTTTTTGGGCAGCAGGGGCTATGACATCTGGGAAGAATCAGTTTTTATTCAGAGATAAGTGAAGAGGTGAAACACCTGGCACCAAAAAGGAGTCTGCCTGTAACACAGGAATTCTAGTGGGAAGAGAAGCAGAGTATAGGTAATTCTAACTGGAACAGGGGAGGGTGTATTAGAGAAGAGAAATAGGCTGAGAATGCAAGTTAGAGGGAGGAGGTGGGAAGACAGACAAAACCTAAGAAATATAAATAGGAAAACAAAGACAGTGCTTCAGTCAAAGAAAAAAGAGAGAACATGAGTTGAAGTTTTAAAGATCAAATACTTGACACACAGTTTGGTGCTCATTAGCCTCTGCAATGGTGGTGAACCTATGGCACACGTGCCACAGCAGGCTGTTTAGCACTGTTTAGCGTTGGAAGCTCTAAAAGGTTTGCCATCTCTAGCATGTGGTTTAAGGCATTTTAACTCTTGCCTACTAACCTCCTTTGCTGCTGCAAACACACTCACACACATGCACAAAACCTCTTCTAAATCAACAGAGACAAAAGGCAAAGAGAAAATCAGTAAGCACAAATACTGAGAGAAAAATTTCAAATTTCAGTCAACTAAACCAAGTCGAAGTACAAGGTAACTTTGCTCTTGGAATCCAGCTTTACCCAATGCCTAACAACAAAGCTCACTTGAGAGCAGTTGTGTGACCTTTAGCCTTATTTACTGTGCCAGCAAAAGAGAAGCCTTTGTCCTACTTTTTAATCATCTTTGTATGTAACTCAAGACCACATAAGACTATGGGCAGTGGAGAGCTGGACTATGCTGACACTCATTTCAAATCTGAAAACGTTACTCTGGCTGTAGCAATCAATCAATCAGTTCTTTTTTTCCTTTCTTTTTTTTCCCCCTCTGAAAATTCAACGCTTGAAGGAATGGGATTCAGGAAGTGAGAATTAAATTTAAAAATACTACATCAACTACTAATGTATTTCCCTCGAATTCATTTCCTGTGAAGTGACCTTACTACTTCTGTGATTAGGAATTTAGATTTTGGAGGAGTGGGAATTAAATACTATAGTCAAGATGTGATTTTCTCTCGATAGTCATATTCAAAATTGTAACATTTGCAGAGCAGGAATACCCTAAATCTAAAACTTCAAGAACTACAAGTCAGTTTCTTTCAAGAGAATAGAATCATTTCCCAGTAAATGTCATTTTCTTAGTGTTTGCCAACACCCTGGCACAGACTTTCAGGGGAAAAGATCGACCTGATTTTTAGAGTTTAAATGGTAATTCAGGTGTACAGGTAATTTTAAACTCATTTTCTAGAGCCTTTTTCAAAATTCATGAGTTACTATTAAAAGAGATGGCCGGGCAAGATGGTGCTCACCTGTAATCCCTGCATTTGGGAGGCTGAGGCTGGATGATCACCATGAATTTGAGGCCAACCTTGGCTACATAGTGAGTTCAAGGCCAGCCTGAACTACATAGTGAGATCTTGTCTCAAGCCCCCCCCACCAAAAAACAGTATATATTTTATATATTTATATATAATATATCTATATATATATCTCTCTATATATTTCTCTACAGAAAATATATTAAAATTAAACTGCTAGCTTTTTATTACCTAAGTAAACTGGATAAATGACTTTAAAAAATTCTCAGATATATAGATTCAGGGCTAAAAAGAGTTAATATCAGGCTGGGGACTTAGCTCAGTGGTTCCACTGCTTTTCTCACAAGCCCAAGGTCCCGAGTTTGATCCCCGGTACCAAAAAAAAAAAGAGTTAATATCTAACATTTACTTAGTACTTAATAACTCTATAAGAAACTACTTTCCACCTAACGTATCTCCTTTAGGTCTCACAAAGTGGTAATATTCTCCACTTTACAAATGAGAAAAGTTGTACAAATCAACTGTCCAAGGTCATCAGAGGGTAAAGCAGTCAAACTCCATACTGAATGCTTTTAACTGCTGTCATGCTACTCCTCATGGCAAAGAAAATCTGTGGTTTCAACCATTCATTTTAGAGATGAGAAAAATAAAGGCCACTTAAAATAAGGTATTTGTCCAAAGTCACACAGCTAATTAGTGCCCAGAAACCACATGACTTGACTGCCACCTCAGGGCCAATCTATTAGAAATACCTGACAGCTGGGCATGCTGGTGCACACCTGTAATCCTAGCACGCAGGGAGGCTGAGGCCGGAGGATTGCAAGTTGGAGCCCAGTCTGGGACAATTTAGTGACCTAGTGAGACACTATCTCAAGGTGAAAAATGAAAAAAGGGCTGGGGGTATAGTTCAGTTTAAAGGCCCTGGGTTCGATCTTCAGTACCACAAAAGAAAACCCCTCACAACCAACACAGGAACAAATTCAAAAAATATTTATGATTTGCCAGCTGTGGTGGCACACACCTGTAATTCCACACTCAGAAGGCCAAGGCAGGAGGATCGCCAAGAGTTCCAGGCCTGCCTGGGCTACACGGTGAGTTCAAGGCCAGCCTCAACAACAGAGCGAGAGCCTGACTCAAAAAACAAAACAAAACAAAATTCATGATTTTTCAAAAGTGTTAAATGACAAATATGCAAAATAAGGAAAAATATAAACTGTAAGGAAACAACCAAATGCTAAAGAAAGGCATATAAGCTGTAAGACACTGGATGATTATGTTTTCTTAATCATTTCCCCAATCTTAACAGTATTTTAATTTTCTGTAACGTGGTTATACTATGACTGGTACACAGAAGCACCTACTAAAAACAGTCGTCGAAATAAAGCAGAAAAAGATCCCATCATTGAATTACTGGGATCTCTTACAGTAAAGGGAGACTCCAGCTACCTGTCTTAGAAACAAAAAATTACCTCACTGGTTCAGGAGAAGAAAGACCAGAGAATTCATATTACAAACTAAAGTGAAGGTTTCTAATTAAGTAACTGGTACAACATACAACAAAAAAGTCACATTTGACTTTACAGATTTAGGATGGAAGGAAAACACTAGGTTTTCTACAACCACCCTCTTTATCCTTTACTATCAGTATGAAAAAGACTACTGCTAATACAGGAAGACTGGGAATTGATAGACACTAGATTATTGTTCTTCACAGGATCTAACATTTTATTCCTTAGCATATACACGTTGGCGTATTTCCACAATGAAGTTGCAAAACCTCGCGTTTCAACATACTATACATTCACACTGGGATTACTGGAAGTGCAAGAGTTGAGGTCTCTAGTACAAAAAGGGCTTTGACGGAAAGTAGCAAGGAGTGACAGTGATTTACAAGGCTGTTAATACCATCGGAGAAGCTTGTAAGATAGCTCTTGTTGGCAAGGTGCTGCGGACCCCTGAAGACGTGACAGTCGGGGTTCTGGTCCTCCTGATCTAGCAGGGTCAGGGTCAAGGCCATCAGTAAAGAAAACGGGGGGTGTGAGCGACTAAGTGCGACGCTGAAGACCAGCCGAAAGTGTCAAGGGACTCAGAAAGGTAAGGAGGCAGAGGGCCCTAAATCGCTGCAGGACTCGGGGTGGCGAGGAAGCGACAGTGCCTTCACAAGGACACAGGGAGCGGGATCCCAGGCAGCGCCCCCCTCCCCCCCGGCCCCGGGTCCCCGAGTGGGGTGGACGGACAGCAAGAGCGAACGCTGCTCCGGGCGCCCCAGTTCCCAAAGGGGTTCTGCCCGAGGCTCCGGGGCGTCTTCAACCAGGTCTCACCTCGGGAGCGGGGAATCCCGAAGGCACTGAAGCGGCTGAGGCTGCCAATCGCTCGGGAGGCCACCATCTTGAGCGGGAGAGGACGAAAGCGGAGAGCGCTTTTAGCCGCGGCTGCCAAACGGAGGACTTTGCTTTCCGCACCCTCGCAGGCCAGCTGCCCAACGCACTGCCTGACTAAACCTCGGGCGCTGACTTGTCGCCGACCCTGTAACCTTGTCTCTCGCTTCTCGGTAACGGGCCGAAAGGATGCTTTCTTTCTCCTCCAGAGGGCAGAGGCCGACCGTGGGGGGGCGGGGCGCCGGATTTTTAGTCAGGCAGCCGGAGGGCAGCCCGTGGGGCGGGCGCGCCCGTGGGCGGGGCCGGGGTCCTTTCCAGACAGGACCCGTCCCAGTTCCCCCCCAGCCTGGGCACTCGGGACGGAATCTTGCTGCGAGTTGGATCGCGGGGACCTAAGGTGAGAGGTACCGGCGCTCGGCTTTGCGCCTGGCCTTTCCCGCGAGCCGATCCCACTTCTTTCCCGCCCGCTGTGCCTGTGTGCGCGGCTGCGTCCCCTCCCTGAGTGACTCGAAGTCGAGAGGGCGGAAGGAAGCCTCGACCAGGCCAGTACCAACCACAGGGCAGTCAGTGACCCAGACTCGCAGTATAGCTTAGCTCCCGGCAGCCCTGTCACCTGTCCTAGTTTACGCCCGCAAGTTAACGAACTCTTTGCGTGTGTGTCTACTACGCCGGACGGTATGTTGGAGTGTTTGTTGTTGCACCTGCTTTACTTTACAGCCCATTGGCTGTTGAAATTCCGGAGGGCGTCACGGGTTTATCCTAAATTTTGCTTTTAACTGTGCTACTCAGGTGTGTGGAAGGAGCCGGGATATCCTGCAGTCAGCTTGGTGATCTGATGACCAGGAGCATTTTCTAATTCAGAAGCGAACATCGTGCCATTCACCCCCCCCCGCCCCCATCGGTGAAGCAACTAAACCATGAATCCATGAATCGGATTTTTACCCAAGGCCACGGGTGGTAGAAATAGGATTGGAGCCCACGTCTACATCTAATCAAGGGCTCTGCTTAACTTGGTTGCTGTTTGTGAGCTCGAAAGATGGGCTTGAGTTCTGGAATAGTTGCTGGTTTAAAAAAAAGAAAAGCATCATTGAAGGCCTACAGTACCCTTGACAGCTTCAGATTATTTTAATTCTTACGATCCCCAAAATAGTACCATTTGTATTTTTTAGCTGAAGTTTGGTAGCCTCAGGGAGATTAAATTTTCTGGTTTGTGGCAAAGCCAGGATTCCGACATAAATCTGACTCTCACTTTTCACCATATTGTTCTGCAAGAGAGGAAACAAGAAATGGCAGGGAAATTGAGGCTGGAGATGAGAAGTATGGAAAGAAAGAAGAGAGCGTTCTGTTTTAAAGTTTAACTCAAATCTTCCTCTCACTGAGAGCACTTTAAACAGAAACTGGTTGACCTCTTCTGAATAAATTGCAAAAAAGCTTCTTGACCTTACAGATGTTTACAATTCAAAGCCTGAATCTTGGCCGTGTAATAGTCTCTTGTGCACCTAATTTTATGTAGCACTCATTATTTACATCAGGAGTGGCAGACTTTTTCTGTAAAGGGCCAACCAGTAAATTGTTTAAGTTTTGCTGGCTCATTTTGGTTTTTGTGGTATGCTTTTTGTTTTGTTTACAATTCTTCAAAAATGTAAAAACTGGGGGTAGGACTGTAGCTTAGTGGTAGATGGCTTGCAGCAGCCTCTGGGTTAATTCCAGCACAGTAAAACCAACAGAACAACAACAAAAAAATTAGTACCTGTTTATCCTTTCCATATACTGATTCATAGCTTCATGGACTTGTTCTGTGACAAAATGGAGTCTCACTATGCATTTGTTCTACAGTTTGCTGCCCCCCCCCCCCATGGCTCTGGGGATTGAACCCAGGGCTTTTGCATCCCTCCCTTCAAAAAAATTTTTTAAAAAAATCTTCAGACAGGGTCTCACTAAGTGGCTAAATTGTCCAGGCTGACCTCTAACTTGAGATCCTCTTGTCTTAGCCTCCCAGAGTGAGACCACGTGTGCTATCATGCTGATTTGCAGCTTGCTTTTTCATTTATATATTTTGGATACCTTTCCATGTCAGTATATGCAAGGGCTGATCAAATAATGGGTGTGGTTTAAATAAAAAAGTACATTGGCATTAATCCCCCTTAAAATACTCCCCCTTGCTTATCCCATCTATCTTGCCATTTTTTTTTTTTGTACTGGGGCTCGAACTCGGAACCTTGCCCTTGCGCGGCAGGCGCCAGAACCACTGAGCTACATCCCCTGCCCTATCTTGCCATTTCTGAAGCAGTTCTGGAAGTCCTCTTTCATGAATGTCTTTTACAAGGAATGATAAAAAATACAGTGAATGCTGCTGCAGAGTGCCCTCCAAAGATAAGCAGGTCATAAAAACTTATGATGTGTCCATCTACCGTTTTCATGGATCAGGTGCCTTGGACTTGTAGCTCTTCATCAAAGTCGAAATGACCATGAAAAGTAGAGGCTTTGAATCAATTTGAGACATTGAGGCAGCCATGACAGAGCAATTAAAGACACAAAAGAGCAGCACTTGGGAGGCTGAGGCAGGAGGATTGCCGTGAGTTCCAGGCCAGCCTGAACTACATAGTGAGACATTGTCTCAAAAAAAACAAAAGAGGACTTTCAGAACTGCTTCAGAAAGTGGCAAAACTATAGGATAAGTATGTTCAAAGCAAAGGGGAAATCTGGGTGTGGTGGCACGTGCCTGTAATCCTAGCACTCAGGAGGCTGAGGCAGGAAATCAGTGCAAGTTCGAGGCCAGCCTTGGCTACATAGTAAATTCAAGGTCAGCCTAAATTACATAGTGAGACCCTGTTTTAAAAAACCCAACAAAACAAAACAAAAACAAAGCAAGGGCGAATTATTAATATTATTATTATTATTATTTTATTTTATTTTTTATTTTTTTAGACAGGGTTTCATTATGTAGTTCAGGCTGGCCTTGAACTCCCAGCAATCCTCCTGCCCCAGCCTCCTGAGTACTGGGATTACAGGTGTATGGCACCATGCCCTGCACAAGAGGAATATTTTGAGGGATATGGCAATGTGTCTTTTAGGGTAATAAATTAAAAAAAAAAATTTAAACATTCACTCTAATTTTTGATCACCTGTTATATGTATATCATTATGTTTCATTTTTCTTTCCACACTGCTGAACAGTATTTCTTGGTATGATTGTGATACAATTTAAACATTTCTTGTTGAAATGCATTTAGAATAGTTCCAGTTTTTCACAAATATTAACAGTGAACATCCTGAATATTCCTATAGGCTAGAGACCTACATGTACAACACATGCTTTTGTTTTGTTTTGCTTTTGTGATGGAGTCTCATCATTTTGCCCAAACTGGCCTTGGACTTACAGTTTTCCTGCCTAAACCTCCAGAGTAGCTGGGATTATAGGTTTGTGCCTCCATTGCCAGCAATACATGCATTTTGAATATTTTTACAGGTTAGAGACCAATAAGATGAATTATTGGAGTCAGAAATTTAGTTTAAACTTTGATAAGAAACTACAAAATTGCCTTCCAAAAAAGCCTTAGCAATTTATACTTTTTCACTAGTATATGGAAATGCCTATTTAAGTTAGATCTGTCCTTTTTTTTTTTTGGTACCAGGGATCGAACTCGGGACCTTGCACTTGTGAGACAGGCAGCAGAGCCACTGACCTAAATCCCCAGCCCAAGATGTATTCTTACCAGGATTGTATATCAACCATGTATTTAATTTTTGCATATCCAACAACCTCAAAATGATACCTTGGTTTAATTTTGTAAAGATATTTATTGTTAATGAGGTTGGACATTCGAAAAACCTTATTTATTTATTTATGGTGGTAAGGATCAAGCCTGGGACCTTGTACATAGTAGAGAAGTGCTCTACTGCTGGGCTACACCCCAGCTCTGAGCATTTTAATTTCCTTGGTGAATTGCTCATTTGCTCATTTTTGCTCTTGGTCTATGTAGCAGGAAGAAGCTACTCAGCAAACAACAGAAAATTGAAACTAAATTGCCTTATTAAAGGGATTTATTGACTTGCAGAAGTGAAAACCACGACCAAAGATAGGTTCAGACTGGATCTGCTAGGGCTCCAGGTTTTTTCCCCCTCCTAAAATTCTCAGCCCTGCCTTGGTTTGGTGTCAGTGTCACCCTTAGGATGGCCTTGTCAGTGTTTGCCAAGTGCTGCAGCTGTGTCAGGTGTCAGAAGAAAAGATTTGTGCTCTAGGATCCAGCAGAAGACATGGATGTTAGACAACTATTCCTACATCCATAGCAGTGGTCAAGCCAGTGCTCTGCGTGGCTGTTGTAAGGCTTGACTACCTGACCTGGTGATCTTGGCAGAGAGAATGAGATTATTCCAATTGGTTAGACCCTGGACTGGGCTGGATTCAATCTCTTGTAACCAACATACAGCAACCAACTCATGATGGGGTGGAATGTGTACTAGAGTAAAAACTACGGATTCCATTATAAATTTTGTTTATTTTCTATAATTTGAAATAAGTTCTTTATGGATGTGGGTATTAACCTTTTCTTCTTTACTTGTTACAAGTATTTTCTCTGACTCTGTTATTTCCCTGTTAACTTGATTTTGGTATCCTTAAAATTTTTTTAAATTTTGCGGGACTGAACCCAGGGAGCACTGAGGTACATCCCTAGCCCTTTTTATTTTTTAATTTTGATACAAGGTCATATTAACTTGCCCAGACTGGCCTTGAACTTGAGACCCTCCTGACTTAGCCACTCACAAATTGGAATCACAGGTGTGCAACACTATACCCAGTTGATTTTAGTATCTTCTGCTGTGTATATATTTGAAATGTTTATATAATCAGACCTGTTAGTTATTTGACATCATGGCTTCTAGATACTGTAGTATGTATTGGAATCCCTTCTGTATCTATTATCTGGTATTTTTTCTAGTACATTTATAATTTAAAATTATATATTTACTGCTGGGGATTTAGCTCAGTGGTTCCGACACCTGCCTCAAAGTGCAAGGACCTGAGTTCAATTCCCAGCACCCAAACAAACAAACAAACAGTATATGTTTGTCATCTCATACAGTTTCGGAAAGTCAGGAACTGGGGCACTATAGCCAGCTTGTTCTAACTTAGGAGCTTCTCGTGAGATTGCAGTCAGAATGGTGGCCAGGGACGTGGTCATTTGAAAGCGCACCTGGGTAGAGGATCGGCTTCCACACTCACATGGCTGTTGAAAGGAGGCATCAGCTCCTCAGGATGCAAGCCTGTTCCTAAGCCTGCTGGTGACGCACCAGTTGGCTTCCTTCAGAAGTGATCTGGGAGAGAGGGACGCCACAGAAGCTGCAGTATTTTTACCGCCTAATCTCAGAAGTGACAACCGTTACTTCTGACATTTTCTTCAAACCAACTGCAGGATAGCACAGGAGGCAGCTGTACAAGGTGAAACCCTTGAGTCAGAGATTTTGAGGGTCAGTTTAGAAGCTGGCTGCCACAAATCTTGTTTGTCTTTCAAGTTAAAATATGTTTTAAAATTAAGAAATTATTAAAAATGTACAATGAGAAGTCGTCCTTCATCCCTGTCTTCTAGTTACTCAGTTCCCTTCCTTTCAGTTAACAATTATTTCCAACACTTTCTTGGTATTTCCGGGGATATTTTATAGTGATAACAGGAAATGAACATATCATTTATGCTCTTTTGATTGAGCGATGGCATGACATATACATGATTTTGACCTTCCTTTCTTCACTTAATGATATAACTTAGAAATGTCCTGTGCTCTTGGTACATAGTCATTTTCTTTTACACTTGTGTAGTACACTATGTCACTGGGTTATGGTAACATGGTTGTTTGCTACCACAGTGACAGCATAGGTAATGTGTGTAACATCTGGGAAGTAAATTCATAGAAATAGAATTGGATTAAAAGTTAGGTGAAGCTTTTGACTGATAAAGTGATACCTCAGTTGTTGAACTCTATTCATTCTAAATTCATGTTTGAACACCGAAAAGTTCGAGAACTGAACATTTTTTTCCCATGAGAAATAATGGAAAATCAAATAACTCGTTCTGAGGCCCCAAATTGCATTTATAAATTCATTTTTCCAGAACTTTAACACAGGGCTAACAGCCCGAGGTGGTGGAGATAACCCTAAAACATCTAAACACAGTAAACACGATACATTAGATGCCAGAGCACAGCACAGTAAATAAAATGTGTTCAGGCGCTTTCCCTTTTCTTGGAGGCTTCCTGGGGTACTGGAAGCTGGGGAGAAATGGAGGAGGAGGAGAAATGTTATTTTTTAGGAGCGACTCCTTCCACAATTAATGGCTGCTGGCACTACAATTTTCGGAGTCTTTTCTCTTGGTCTTTTTTCACCTTTTCTCACTTAAAATTTGTCTGAGGGTGGTGCTTAGACTGAAGCGGCACCACACTGGCTGCATGACTCACTCTCCGGCCACACAGGTTTTTCAGTTCGGATTTTCGATTGCCTCTAAAGCAGAGTTAGGAACACTGAGCAGGTGTTTTCAAACTTTGCAGTTTGAGTAGTAGAACATTTGCACTTGGGGCCATTTGACAAGCGGGGAACCCTGTAATTACCAGGTCGTTCACACCCTCAGCGGCAGCATTTATGTGGAGGCAGCATTTATGTGGACTCGTCTGCCCTACATATAGCAGATCTTTCAGTCTTTGCTAATTTGACAGACAACTATATGTGTGTGATTTTAATTTGAATTTTCTCTTATGAGTAGAGTTGATCTTTTCATATACCTAAGAGCCATGTACTTGTATTTCCTTTTCTATGAACAGTTTGCTTTTATCCTGTGCCATTTGTCTGCTGGTTTCTGTCATACTGATTTGTAGGAACTCATTGTTAGGAATTTAGCTTTTTTTTTTTTTTTTGGAGGGGAGGGAGTGGTTAATATATTTTATTTTATTTTATTTTTTATTTTATTTTATTTTTTGTTACCAGGGATTGAACTTGGGACCTTGTGCTTGCAAGGCAGGCGGCGGAACCACTGAGCTAATTCCCCAGCCCTTAATATATTTTAAATATTTAAAAATATAAGGCTTTTGTATGTACTTTAAATTTTAAAAATTATTTTGAAACCATGTTAAGCATTAAGAAAAGTTGCAAGCGCAGTACTGCAAACTTTTTCTAGTAGTAGTTGGGAGTAAATTGCTGACAAGATGTTCCCCCATCCCTGGATACGTTAGTGTGTGTCTCCTTCAAATATAAACATTCAACAAGGCCTTGTACATAATCACAGCACGGCCCTCAAAGTGGAGATTAATACTGGTCATGCCAAGCATTATCTCTGGGCCTTTGGCCTGGAGGAGCAGAACACAAGCTCTGGACTTAGACTGCCTGGGTTCAAATCTCAGCTCTGCCACTTACTAGCTGAGGGTCTTTGGGCAAGTCACTCAATCCTTCTATGCCTCAGTTTCCTCATCTCTTACACAGGGCATAATAATCGTGCCCTCTTCCTAGGTCATTGTAAAGATGAGATGACGAATGCTTAGAATAGTGGTTGGCATAATGCATTCTTATCCATATAGCCATTACAATATTATTAGTAGAACAAGAGATCATAATAGATGATGATGATTTTTTTTTACAGTACTGTGAATTGAACTCAGTGCCTCAGTGCATGTTAGACAAGCTCTACTACCAAACTGTATGCTCAGCCCTTTTTGTTTGTTTGTTTGTTTATTTATTTATTTATTTTGGTACTGGGGATCGGACTTGGGACCTTGCACTTGCAAGGTAAGCAGCAGAACCACTGAGCTAAATCCCTGGCCCTACTTTTTGAGACAGGGTCTTACTAAGTTGTCTAGGTTGACCTGAAACTTGGGTTTCCCTGCCTCAGCCTCCCAAGTAGCTAGGATTACAAGTGTGCACCACTATACTCAGGTAAACTTTTTTGGTATTTTATAGTAGCCCTGGTTGAGGTTATTGGAGAACATACACTGTATAGAAGCTATAAATCACTCATAAAACACAGGATGTTATTTTGCTCTTCTCTTTTTAGATTTCAGGATGACTTCCATCTTGACTTATACTTTTAAAAACCTTCCCAGTACATCAAAATGGGCCCTCCGATTTTGTAAGTTTATTTTTTTCTTTCTTTTTTAAGGTTATATTTGGATTTATAAGTATTATAGAGAGACAGTGAATGGTATTGCTTTTTGTAAACAGTTTATTTTGTCTTTCAGGTGTAAGACCTCTGAGCTGTTCCTCCCAGCTACGAGCAGCCCCAGGTATAGAAATTTATAAATATTTCTCATTTAAATGTTAGATTCTAGCTGGGGATTTAGCTCAGTGGTGCCGCAACCTGCCTTGCAAGTGCAAGGTCCGGAGTTTGGTCCCTGGTACCAAAAAAATAAATAAAATAAATGTTAGATTCTATATCTGTGAATTCCAAATAAAAACAAATTTGTTAATTCTGTCTTTTTATGATCAACATGAACATCCCTGTAGCTCTTGAATTAAAAACTTACAGAGCCAATCAGTAATGATACTGTGTTGTTTAAGATTGGGCTTAACAGGTTGAGAGGCTGTTTTCTGGGCTTCGGAGCCCAGTGGGGTCATGAAGATTCCATAAATCTCCCTGTTCAGTTTACCTAGCTTCTGGTTGTCATTGCTGGAGTTGATTAGCTGACATACACTTTGAGACCTTTGTGGAGATAAAGTTAACCTTTAAAGTTTGCATTTTGTGATAGGCTACCCTACTGAATGTCTTCTTACTCCATATGCAAGAGGACCCATTTCTGAAGTAGAAGAGAATAAGGAAATAGTAAAAGAAGATTGAAAGAGCAAGGGAATTCGTTGAGTTGATAGTCATTTAGACCCTTAGTAAACTGAATTAGGTGTCTCCACTGTTAATACACACCTTTGCAAAACCTGCTTTAGATATTTATCTTCACTTGTCAGTGATAAAAATACCCTGACAAATCCTTAACATTTTTTTCCTGCCTAGGTTTTGTATTGACCTATGCCTCTGATTTTTTCAGTATGGTATTTCTTTTTTTTTTGGTACCAGGGATCGAACTCAGGACATTGTGCTTAAGAGACAGGTGGCAGCACCACTGAGCTACATCCCCAGCCCAGTATGGTATTTCTACTTATGTAATAATTTAATAGAAAAAAGACCTTCCAGAGTTCAGAAAATTTGTACTCTGTTCCAGCCCTCCCTCTTCCCGGCCATTGGGACCCTGACTCATCACCTCACTTCTCTGTGCTTTAGTTTCCTCTGAAAAAGTAGTCAGATTCTAGTCTTGTCAGCCTTCTGTAGTTACAAAGATATCTCAAAACCCTTTGAAAACTCTAAACTCAATGTAAGTTTAAGATGCTATTGTTATATTGCTTTTGTATAGTTCTCAGGGATCTGTGCCTCAATCCCAGCCAGAGCAGTTAGTGTTGTGTGTTATATTTCCGGTGGCCTCTGGACTCTGACTAGAATACACATTTCTGTCAGGCTCACAAAAGATCACTTCTTTCTCCTTTCACCTTTTCCCTAATTGCAGTGTTCACCCATGCCTTTGCTTTGCAGTCACACAAATAGACCTGATCCTTGCCAAGTAGGGGAAAGGTCAGTCTGAATATCAGTAAGGAAAGCAGTTAGAGTGTTCTTCCTGTTGCCCTGTAACTTTTCGATGTCTTTTCCTCTCCAACAGTATTGTAAACCCTCATGAGATTTAAGTTGTTTGTGTCTTTATTGTCTAACACGTGTCCCACGATTGATTTGTGTTGACACTGATAATGACAGTGTTGCAAGAAGGCTCCTGATTAGACAAAGGAATGTGACTGGCTGCGCTTGAGGGCAGCCAGTGGGCTGTGCCTGTCTGAGCAGATTTGAAGTGCAGTAATTTCATAACCATACAAGTCTTCTTGAAATTTAAGTGAATATCCCTGCTTGGTGAAGGAATTAGAGTATAAGAGAGTACAAGATGTATTGATGTTTTCAGTCATCTGATGAACTGAAAGTGTCTGATGGAAATTTTGACTGGATGATTATATGTCTCTTTATACCTCTATTTATACACACGCGCGCGCACACACACACACACACACACACACACGAGCCAGTATGCATGGTGAAACAGGATGAGAGTCTTTTGGGTGACTGTTCAATACATAATAACAAATATTTTTAAAAACATGGCTTGTGGAACTAGTTTAATTACTTTATAATAAGCTAAATTATTTGGAATGGCCAAGTTTTGCCCTTCTGTGGCAGAGGTTGCCGTAGACTAAGTTTAGAGGCAGAAACTACAAGTTACTGTAGTTATGAGAGAAGGTTTTATTTCTAGGAGCTAGAATGTGAAATAAACCTGAGAGACGCATAAGAAATGGATGAACTGGGGCCTTCCAGATGGGAGGGTTCCTGAAAAAAAGCAAGGAGGTCAAGTGAGCAGAGCTGAGGGATTGGAGACTTGGTCATCTTGTTATATTTTTTAAATTATTAAGTAATTAAGATGGAACTAAGTTAAGTAAGGCAGGAAATTCATTAGAGAAATAAAGGTGAAGGCTTTTGTGTGTGTGTGTGTGTGTGTATGTGTGTCTGTGTGTGTCTGTGTGTGTCTGTGTGGTAGTAATTGAATCTTACTGAGCCACACTTCTAGCCTTTTTTTATGTTTTATTTGGAGACAGGGTCTTGCTAAATTGCCCAGGCTGGGCTCAAATTTGTGATCCTCCTGCTTCAGCCTCTTAAAGTGTTGGAATTAAAGGCCTGTCTCATCGGGCCCAACAGGAGTGAAGAAGTTGAATTTTATGTGAAAATGGTATAAAAGGAACATGTGGTCAGTTCTTAAAAAGCACAGGGACATCATGATGTGTCACCTGGTGTTTCCTTTCATCACTTTATTCTTTCCAAGTTTAGTCATGAGTAATCTGAAAATTTAAGGGCTGTTTACAGTTCTCTTTCTCCTTGAGGATCGAAATATCTGCCTGTGCTGTTTTTCCGGGCACTCTTCTGCCTTTACTGTCATACACCACATCTGTCTTTTCCCTCAGGACTGAGGTTGAACCAGAGCTTCATGGTGCTAGGGGAGCAGCCTATCACTGAGCTGTGTCCCCAGCCCTGCCTATCTCCCGATTCTCCTATTGCCTCACAAAATTGCCTTCTGTCTCACATCTTCTCTGCCCTCGTGTGTGTAGGGAAATAACAGAACTAAGTGTGTTTTTATTGTAGGTAATGGACCCTTAAGAATGATTGGCTTCATGTGTACTGCACCTGGGAAGGTGTAAGAAATCAAGCAAGCAGCTCTAGGGGTCACTGCTGTTTTCTCTTATGTACCATGGGAAAATCCCTTCCCTGGCCTGCTTCTCTCTGTGTGTTTTTCTTCATTCTTGCTGGCTTCTTTGTACACTCATCAATTTTGCTATCCTACAACTTACAGATGATTTCAGTTTGCCGAAGTCTTTCCTTATGCCACCTTTTTCAGCTTCTACTACTTAGCATTTCTTTTCATGCTTCTTTAGATCCCAGCCAGCAGGTCATGCCTGTAACTGGTTGCTATAGTTTGATTGTGTCCTCAAGGGCTCAGGGTCTGGAACCTGGTCCCTAGTGATACTGAGTGGTGCTGGAACCTTTAAGAGGTCAGAGGTAATTAGATCATTGAGACATCAACCTTGGAAGAAATGAATAGAGTTCCCTGGAGAATGGGTTTTATAATGTGAGGCCACTCCCTGTGCTTGGCCTCTTCAGTACACTGCTATTTCCTTCCTTGCATCTTTGCTGTGTTGTGATGCAGCCACAGGAACCTTCACCAGTGCCTTGCATTTTGGACCCTCCAGACACCGTACTTGTGAACTAAAAAACCTCTTTACTTAAAGTACTCAGCCTTGGGTATTTTGTTATAGCAACACAGAATGGATGACACAAACACACCAGGCAGTCGCGGTACAGATTGATTGTTGGTGATTCTGTTATGTCCACCCTGAATCTGGTCAGCTTTTGTTATGGGCTTAGAGACATGGCCATGTGAGGCTGTTCTCTTGGCAAGGATTATGAGCAGCAGAACTTCTTCAGAGGAGCCTGAATGAGCAGGTATTATTGTAAAATACATCTCAGCTTTTCTTCTGCATTTTAAGCTTCAAATGTCTCCTGATTTTCTGACCTGCACCTCACTTCAGAGCTTCGGTTTTAGATCTCTACTCTCTGCCAGATAGATGTCCATCTGGTTGCCTGTCCAGCACATCGAAGTTACCAAGTTTAAAAATGAACTCATTCTTTCAAAATTAGTTCTCATTTTGTATAGAGCAGCTGATTTTCTTAGTCTCTAGACTTCCTTTATAATCCTCTTTTCTGTTTTTCTTTCTATATTTGAGTGATCACCAAGGTGCCTCATCGTCCCTTTTCTAATATCTTGTATTGGTCCCTTCCTTTCCATTCACGTCGGTGCTGTCTTTACCTTGCCATTAGCATGGTGTGCTTGGGTTCACCGTTCTCTGTTTCCTCCTTGCTGTTTTTATCTCCTTTGCCAACACATCTCCGTCAGATCTGCCAGAATACCCTGAGGACCCTCTTTTATCGAGACTCATAGCTCTGACTACCTTTTCTTTCAAGTTTGTGGTAGATATTTGCCTTAAATACTTCTCTGTGACATCAGTGGTTGTGGTAAAGTGGTTACTGAAATTTTATTCCTAACAATGTAGGACTTTTTCTCTCTCTCTGATAGTGTAGTGATGATAGTAGGTAACTGCCAAAACTAATAACATGAAAGTGAGAGATTTAGATATACTGACACAGAAGGCTTCAAGCTATAATGAAAGTCAGAAAAGTATCCATAATACACAAGTGTGCACATGTACGTGTATTGGAAAGGAGTTGAAAGTAACAGTAGTTACCTTTGGAAAGGAACTAATATGGTAGGGGAGGCATAAAGAGGAAATTCCAGTTTTTAGTGTTGTTTACTTTTTTAGGACCACATGCATATATTCACATTTTATTCTTCAGTGTTTAAAAATACTAAAGAAAAGTTACTCTTTTGAGGTTAGAACTATTTAGGTGAATGGAGTAGGCAGAGTCAGGAAACAGTCTAGGTTTTTTGCAGAATAGCAGTAGTCATCAGCCAGGTGGCCTTTCTCTCCATGGAGAGGTACAAACAAGCTGTTTGAAAAGCGAACACCATCAACCATTGTGACTTCTACCACTAGGTTTTATGTGTAGTGGTTATTGTTTTTCTTTTTTTTTTTTTTAAGTCACAAATAATAAGATTTTAAAAATTAATTAATTAATTAATACCCGGAATCGAACTCAGGACCTTGCGCTTGTGAGGCAGGCGCTGGAACCACTGAGCTAAATCCCCAGCCCAAGATTTTATTTATTGAGTGAAATCGCTTAGAGGATATGTAGTAGTTCAACTGGAGAGAAGTTATGCTTTTCTTTTTTTTTTGATACTGGGGATCGAACTCGGAACCTTGCGCTTTCGAGGCATGCGGAACCACTGAGCTAAATTAAAGTCTTTTTTTCTTTTAAACTGCTTCACCCTAGATACCTGTGCTTGTATGTGAATATGTGCATGTGTGTATGCTTAAGTATTCAAGTGTTAATGTGTACAACAATTGACAGCCATAGGGACCCTAACATTCACTAACCTCCAAATTTAATTTGGCCCTGGTATGTAAAGAAACTTACATGCAGAGAAAAATGTCCTGCTTTTTTTTTTTTTTTTTTTTGTATTTGTAGGATTCAGCTTTGTTTTCAGGCTATCTGGAGTGGTATCTGAGTAAATATGCTGAACACATCCTTGACATCTTTAGCTGTTTCTTCATCTATGTAACACTCTAAGTTTTTTGTTGTTTTTTTGTAGTGGTTATTGTTAATGCAATAGATTATTAAACGTTTGATAAAAATGACCAGCTTTGTTAATGGCTTAGATAGATACCCTCATCATTGGAGATAATCTTTGTTTACCTTAAACATTATTTAGAAACTTGTGAATTCTGAATTATTTTTTGTTTGTTTGTTTTTTTTTTTTGGTACCGGGGATCAAACTCAGGTCCTTGCGCTTGCGCAGCAGGTGGCGAAACCACTGAGCTAAATCCCTGGCCCCTTTTGTTTGGTTTTTTGAGACAGGGTCTCTCTGTGCAGTTCAGGCTGGCCTCAAATTCATGGCAATCCTCCTGCCTCAGCCTCCTGAGTGCTGAGATTACAGGTGTGCACCACCACACCTAGCTAATTCTGAATTTTTTAGCCTTTAAAAAAATATTTAAATGGTTTAGTCATTGACAAATGCAACTTGTCCTTGAGTGATAAAATTCTTAGAATGTCTGTCTTTAAAAATGTAAAAGGTCATCTAACGTCATATATTTTAATTAATAGTTCTTTGAATTTTATCTTAAAGCTGTCCAGACCAAATCAAAGAAGACCTTAGCTAAACCCAATCTAAGAAATATTGTGGTAGTAGATGGTGTTCGGATTCCGTTTTTGCTATCAGGCACTTCGTAAGTATGAAATGATCGTGTTATTCCTTCTTTGAAGATACTATCTAAAGTGATCTTTGTTTTTTGGGGGTTTTTTTTTTTTTTTTGGTACCAGGGATTGAACTCGGGACTTTGAGCTTTCAAGACAGGCACCGGAACTACTGAGCTAAATTCCTGGCGCCTAAAGTGATCTTTGTAAATACAAGATAACCCAGTAGGTAATAGTGTCACTGGTGGACTAATACATGGATAGCATCTCCGTGAAATTAACACAGACTGTCAGTGATGAAGTAATGTCAAAATGTGCTTTTTATCCTTTCTTATAAATAAGCCTAGTATAGTTTTAGCTTGAAACAGCCTATTATGAAAGCCCATTGTAGGTATAGGTAGCTTGCTTTCAACAGAGCTGCCCTTTTCTGGGGACAAGGCCATTGTTCCTGTCCCTCCTCAGAAGTTGGGGTGTGAGCCTATGAGCCACTGCTTTGGCCTCCTAGAAATCATGAGACTTGGACGGCAGGGGGGTCCAGAGCCCTGGCTTAGCACCACCCCAAGTATTTGGGACCAGAGTGATCCTAGGGCCACAGAGCTGTTTGCTTTAGCCTTTTCTGTTTCTCTTCTGTCCCCAAGTGAGGTTCAGTCTGTCCAGACTTTGGTATTTAGGTTCAAGCAGTCACTTCTGTGCTGTTAAGATTGTTTTAATGTTCAGATTTTGAAACAGTAGTAACTAGCTTAAAATGTGTTGGTGAATATTAGGCTTGTGCTAATATGCCATGATGTGGACTATCTGACCTCTTGGAAGGTATAAAGCAAGGTGCAAACCGGGCACAGTGGCTTATGGCTGTAGTCCCAGCTACTTGGGAAGCTGAGTTGGGAGGATCACTTGAGAACAGAGTTCGAGTCCAGCCTGGGGAACATAATAAAACCCTGTCTCAGAGCAAAATAAAACAAAAAACAAACACCAACATGTAGAACATTGTATGTAATATACCATCAGTTCTGAAAGATACATACCTGTGTGTGTGTGCGTACATTTACACACAAACAACTAACAAGGTTCATTTTTAAACAGATGGTTTAGAACCTAGAAAGTATTTTCTTATAAAAGTAATGCTGTGAGTAAATGGTGATAAAGTTTCTTCAGTCACTCTAGTTTTAAGCATGGTAGCCCTTTTAACAATGTTTCTCACTATAATCTCCTTTACTGACACAACAGCAGTAAGATAATCTGAAGATTTTAGTAGCAATAAGGTGGAAAAGAAAGTTCTATCGGGGGAAGAAAGTTCTTGGCTGGGAAGACCGCTTTTATTTAAAAAAATTTATTTTAGTACACATTTGCAATACATAGTGGATTCATTCATCTTGGGGATTTGGTACATAGACATATCACATCTTTGTCCTTTTTACTTCCCTTTTCTCCCTCTCCCTTCCTGTCTCTCATTTCTAGATCCCCTTGCCCTTTGCAGATGTATCTTCCAGTTTTCTATTGTCTTATTTTGTTCTTTAAATTACTTATACTTTGTATTTCTCATATAAGAGAAACTATGTGATATTTAAGTTTCTTTGTCTGATTTGTTTCACTTAGCATTATGGTCTCAAGGCGAATCCATTTTCCTACAGATGAATCAAATTTATTCTCCTTTATGGCAGAGTGGCACTCCATTGTGTGTAAACAGTACATCTTCTTTATCCATTCACCTGTTGATAGACATGTAGACTGCTTGCAAGATTTAGCTATTATGAGTTGTGCTGCCGGAAATAGAAACATAGGTTTGCATCTGTCACTGTAATATCATGTCTTTAACTCTCTGGGGAGATACCTAGGAAGGGACTAACTAGATCGAGTGGAATTTCTTAATTTTAGTTTTTGAGGAATCTCCATTCTGAATTCTCTAGTGGTTGTACTGGTTTACACTTCCACCAGCAGTGTAGAAGGGTTCCGTTTCCCCCGGCAGCATAGTACCCTGGACTGGACCCTGGAACAGAAGTAGGACGTTGGTGGAAAAACTGGTGTGATCCGAATAAAGTTAGCAGCGTAGTGAATAATACTGTGCCAGTGTTAGTTGTTTCATTTTAATAAGTACATAGTTGTTATGTAAGACAGTAACATTAGGAGGAGTAAGGTAACTCTGTTCTGTCCTTTCAGTTTTCTTATCTCAAATTATTTCAAAGGAAAAAGTGCCTTAAAAAGTACTAATACATCCCCTTTATGGCCTTTTTGGCCCCATAAAATAAATTGATAATGTGCTTTTAAGAAAAGTTTTAAAGCCTTCAAAAGGTGGGATTTGGTTTTAAAGAATTTAACATTAAACACATGTCGTGCTGAACCAGAGTACTGTTTTTTTTTCTTTTTTTTTTTTTTTTCGTACCGGGGATCAAACTCGGGTCCTTGCGCTTGTGCAGCAGGCAAGGAAACCACTGAGCTAAATCCCCGGCCCCTTTTCTTTTCTTTTTGAGTAATAAGGGTCTCACTATAGTTCAGGCTGGCCTTGAACTCACTGCGTAGCCCAGGCTGACCTTGAACTCATAGCAATCCTGCCTCAGACTCCCGAGGGCTGAGATTACAAGCTTGTGCCACCACACCCGGCCTAACAATAGAATACTGCAAAAGGTATTCTTTTTTTTTAAGATTCTTAGTAAACTTTTTAAAATTTTTATTTTTTGGAGACAAGGTCTCACTATTCCAGGCTGGCCTTGAACTCATTATGTTGCCTAGGCTGGCCTTGAACTTGCAGGAGTCCTCCTGCCTCAGCCTCCCAAGGGCTGAGATTATAGATGTGTGCCACCATGCCTGGCTCTTAGCAAGCTTCGTAGGAGTTAAAGTTTGCCAGATTTTTAAGGATGCTCAATAGCAAAGTTACACTGTATCTTCATTTTAATTGATGGGCTGCCTTATAACCCAGGTATTTCAAACAGAAGGAAATAAAATTTCCTGAAGTGCTAAGCTTTTGATTTAAATTATGTTTTCTTTCCCCAGATATAAAGACTTGATGCCACATGATTTGGCTAGAGCAGCACTTTTGTAAGTAAATGCAATTTTATTTGAGTTCTTTATTATTAAAGACAACTTTCCTTAGTTTTTACACTTGACATGAGATGCTCCATTGAATTTTCATATCTGGGGCATAATTGATTGTTATATGGTAAGAAAAATGCCAGTCAGCTTTTACAAGATTGATTTATTCTTCATTTTTACCCACTGGTGCTGCACAAATTTGAGCAGCTCATGAATGTCAGTGATCTTATTTTGCAGGCTTATCAGACAGCATGTTGCCTGCTAGTTATCACGAATGAGCGAGCATCCCAGCTGCTCACAATCCATGCATTTGATGATGGTCTTAGGAACTTGACTACTACGAAAGGGCCCTGAACAGATTATGTAGATGTTTTTCTAGAAAGAAGCTTAACCTAGAAACCTGAAGATTTATGGGCAAACCATGTAAAATTATAAAATGAGATGTGATTAAATGAGATTGAGATGGATGAATTCATTTTGTGAGGGTCATTCAATGTGTGGTTGTTTTTAGGGTAGAAGCGGCATGATCTAATTCACTTTCCAGTGACGCTTTGCCTCAGCGTCACAGGTCTTTCCTGCTGGGAGATGACCTTCATGTGACCTTTGTGCCCATTCTGACTCTCCTTCTGTGTCTTCCAGACTTTCTCATTCCCACCCCTTCCTCTCTCTAACCGGATGGTCATTTCCAGTCCCATTGCTCTATAGTAACTATCTCTACTTTTTTTTTTTCATTTCCTTTTTTTAAATTTATGGCCTTGAATTCCTAGGCTCAAGTGATCCTCTGCCTCAGCCTCCTGAGTAGCTGTGCCACCATGTGTGGCTTCTTCTCTTTTTTAGAAAACTGGATCTTTTCCTTTTTTCTCCCTTTTAAAGGAATTTTGCAAGTTTTGGTCCTTAGAGTTTACATTTCTCTGTATGCACAGTTTCCATTAAAAATCCTGTCCTTTTCATATGGGACTTTTAATAGAGGACTCCCAGATCTCTGAATTTACCCTCTTAGCCATCTCAAGCTGAAAATATCGAAAATTACCTTTTCCGCAAGCTGGCTTTACCCCCCTCTCCAGTGGCACAGGGGTCAAGCTCAGGCCTTGCACATGGCAGACGCGTCTTCACACATGTTGAGCCGTCTTTCTATGTGATAACGGTGTTACTGTGATCCTAGGCACGTTTTTCAACTTTTTACTTTAAAAAATGTCAAACATACAGTAAAATTGAAATAACAGGGTGAACATCTCAATACCGTCCACTTAAATTTAATAATTGTTGCCATTTTGCCAAATTTGCTCTTTCTGTATGGCGTGGATCATTTTGATAGTAAACTGCAGACATCATGATACTTAAGCTCTAAGTATTTCACCTTGTATCTCCTAAGAATAAGGAACTTCGTTGCTAACCACCTCACTGTTACTATCACCATGATAATAATGAGTCCACGATAACTTCCCATATCAAGTTTATATGCAAATCTCTCTCAATTGTTCTAAGAGTATCTTTTCTTAAAAACAAAATATTTTCAAACCTGGACTTTATCAAGGTCTGTATTACAAAGGGATAGATAGGTCTCTTTATTCTCTTTTGACTTAGAACATTTTTTTTCTCCTCTCTCCTCCCTATGACATTGATTTTTTGAAAAGTCCAGGCCTGCTATACTATAGAATGTCCCATTCTGGAAGTTTCCTCATGATGATGTTTAACTTCCCTCTCCCGAATTTCCTGTAACCTGGAAATTAGGTCTGCAAGTTGATAGACTGAAGTTAAACGTTTCCTCCTTGGTAAGAATGCTTCCTGGTCACATTCAGGGGCACATGTGTGTGATGCTGAATCTAACACCGAGGTCATGGTGGTCGGGCTGTGCTCGAGCAGCCGCCGTGCAAAGACTGTTCCCAGCAACCTTTTGTCATATGGCTTTTAGCGTCCAGTGATAATTTTTGCCTGAATCAATTATATTAGAGATTTGGGCAAAAATTTGTGATTTTTCTCCTTATCTTCTACATTTATTGACTGACTTTTTATGAAAAGACCAAGTTCTTTTTTTTTAACTGGTGAAGACTTCAGAGTTTTTATGTGTACCAACTTTAAGCATTACTCTTCTAGTTTTGTTGTTTTTGTTAGCACGTGTTTGTGATGCAGAAGTACGACATTCATTGTGGGGAGTTCATACATACACAGGACGCCTCTCAGTTCTTTTTGGGCACCTTTCTCTCTCCTCTCCTATATCTCTTGGCCCCCTTTCCATTTGCAAAAGAACGGTCTCCTATTTCCCACTATCTGTCTTTTATTTTGGTCTTTAATTTATTTATACTTTGGGTTTCTCGTATAAGAGGACTAACGTGATATTTAAGCTTGCGTGTCTGATTTATTTCACTCACCATTACAGTTTCAAGGTGCACCCATTCTCCTACAAATGACTCAAATTCATCCTTCTTTATTATAGAGTAGTACTCCACTGTAATAGAGTGGAATGCCTGTCTTTTTTTCTACTCTTTTTGAGGCTCAGATTATCCCCCATCTTTTTTGTGGGAGCTCCTTCAAGTTGGCCCAGTGACCCTTTTGTTTTTTAGTACAGTACCATTTTTGAGGTAAAGTTTGTAATGAAATGGCCCAGATTTTAAGTGTATACATTGAAGAGTTTTTCCAAATATGTACACCCATGTTCCTGCTTTTGCTATAGCTCCATTTGGGTACTTCCTTACCTTTGGGACAAAAAAAGATGTTGAGATTTGCTTCAGATGTAGCAAAAGCACTTGTCTCACTGGGCTGGTGATGCACACCTGTAATCCCAGCACTCGGAGATTTGAGGCAAGAGGATCAAAAGTTCAAGCACATCCTGGGCAACTTAGAAACCTCGCAAGGTCCTGTCTCACATAAAAATAGGCTGGGGATGTGGCTCAGTGCAAAGACCTGGGATTTAATCCCCAGTGCTGGGGATGGGATGGGAGAAGCACTTGTCTCTAATGGGGAATGACATTTAGAGACCAGGCCTGGGTTCGAGGTGTGCTCATTTCTAACTGAATGTTACTTCTTCTAGTTTCTACCTATGGGCAGAACATACTTATGTACATACACTCATATATACATACATAGTTTTAATCATGTTTATGTTGATATTTCAAATTTCAATTTAACATTACCAGCATTTTTCATCTCTTTTTGTATCTCTTTCTCTTTTTACTGAAAATTTTGATTTCTACTAACATTAACGTTACTATGTTTATTTTATCTTATTCTAAATATTTTATTCTTCCTTTCTGATCTCTCCTTACCAGTTTATTGAACATCACATGCTAAATTTTTAAATCACTCATTCATTTCTTCTTTGGCTAGGTGCCAAACGCTTGTCAAATTAAAGAAAAGATACAGCTTCTGCCCTTTTAAATTCAAGGTTTACCTTTTTAAACTTTACTTTTGCGGTGCTGCAGGGTGAGCGCTCCTGCAGCCCCCAGGGTTGCCTTCTTAAAGAAGTGCCGTGTTCTGTGTATGATCCCTGGCACTTCAGTAATGTGCGAAATTTTTCCCTGCTTTGGATTTCTGCTTTCAGGGGTTTGTTGCATCGAACCAACGTCCCAAAGGAAGTTGTTGATTATATCATCTTTGGCACAGTTATTCAGGAAGTGAAAACAAGCAATGTGGCTAGAGAGGTGAGTAAAAGTACCTTTGTATTGTTTAAAGGGATTCATAGGAGAATCAGTTTGAATTTCAGCCAATAGAATTTACTTTTTGATATCCTTTAACTTTTTTCTTCTTATTTTGCAGTGCTGGGGATTGAACCCAGGGCCTTAAGCATGCTAGGCAAGTGGCCTACCATGGAGCTACACTGGCAGCCCTAAAATTTACTTTTTTTTTGTACCGCAGATTGAACTCTGGACCTTGCACTTGCGAGGCAGGCGGCGGAACCACTGAGCTAAATCCTCTGCCCTAGAATTTACTTTTTGAAGGCCATTAAAATCCATTGAAGGGTTAGGGATGTAGTTCAGTGGGAGAGAGCTTGCCTAGCATACGTGAGGCCCTCGGTTCAAGCCCCAGTACCACAAAATAATCAAAAGTATTCACTTAAAATTCATTAGCTAACCTTACATTGGACTTAAAATGTAACTTTACAGCTCAAAGTATAAGCATTACTTAATATTTAGAAGAATTGTACTATAAAGCCAATAATTTATATTATTAGTATATATTCATTTTACTATAAATCAAATCAGTTATTTGAGTTGGTTTAGGAAATGTTAGTCTCTTGTTTTAGAAAAATAGAGATTATAGCAGTGTGTGACTGCTGTTACTTTTGTAGTAATGGTAGATAAACTAGTTTATAACTGGTTTAAAATGTCAGCGTATTTCAAAGAACTAACATCATATCTTGGTTTTCATAGTTGGACTTAGCCTTGCTTATTCATTTGTTCCCATTGACTGATGACACATCGGCAGGTTTTGAAAGAAGTATTTCCCAGGCGTCTACTTTTCCCCTAGTTGGCACAGCTCCATGTTGTGTTTATTGGCACCGAGATAACGACAGGCCCTGGAACGTTGGTGCCACATCTCACTGCAGACAGTCCAAGCACATCTTCGGGCTTTGTTTCGATCAGAGTCATTGTTTGGATAGTGTTGGCTCCGAAGCCCTCTGTGCTAAGCCTTATTTCGAGTCTGTATTTGTGTTTGTGCTCAGTGTAGTTGGGAGGGTAATGACTTAGATCACTGGGAGCCCCAGGCGAAGGGCATCTGAGCATGACCGTGCATATTTGTTCTGCCAGTAAACGTTGAAACTGCTGACTGCCTGGTGCTAAAGTCCTCAGAAATCAACTGTATGATGTTGAGGGGCTGGAAGGAATCTAGAACATGAAGAGGTTTTTGTTCTCCTCTTGGAATCTTTTGTGTTCCTGCCCCCCTCACCTTCACCTTTCTCAATGCATCACATGAGAGTTTTATAAAGTACATAACGCCAACAAGCGGTTCATGATACATTTTCAACTTTGATATTCTGAAAATAAAGTGACTTTTATAAGTGCACTTAAAAAGTAAATGTTAAATCTGTTTTTCTTTCTTTCTCTTTCTCTCTTTCTTTCTCTCTCTTTCTCTGTCTCTCTTTCTCTCTCTCTCTCTCTCCTTTTCTGTTCTGTTCTGTTCTGTTCTGTTCTGTTCTTTCATCTTACCTTTCCTAAAACGAAAGCTATGATTTTTCTGTGAATTTTTTTCTGGAAGTTTTGCAACCAGTGCAAATCTTGGCTGTGATTGACATGAAGTAGTTCCCTCCTCCTACCCTATACTAGTAATTCCAGTCAGGTTGTACTCCAGGTCCATTTTCCAGTGACTGTAGGGAAGGACCGAGTTGAGGGGATAATAGAGTGTTACTTTAAGGTGGTGCTATAACCTAATAGCTAGCGTTAATTCTAGCTAGAGAATTTCTTCAGGACCTGTTGTTTGTATTAATGCTATTAGCCTGAAATCCTAAAAGGCTTCTGGTGTTCCTATAAACCTGACTTTGCTGAAAGACCGCTGCATAGTTCCTGCTCTCCAGCTTAACTAAGTGGCATCCTCCTCTTTCCTTAGTGCCTGGAGAACTGTTCAAACTTTAAATAGAAGCAGGTGGACAAGGGTCACCAGTCACCGCTTCTATTTACAGCTCCCTCAGTCCCGAGGGTCAGCTGGGGCCAAGGGTAACCGGCCTGGTAAGGATCCAGCTGTGGTGACCCGCGTGCCCCTTGCCCTTGTCCTACTGCAGAGCTTTTCTCCTGGCTGCCTAGCACTTGCCCTGTCTCCTTCTGGATTGGGTTAGGCTGACAGGTTGCCATGCAGTGGTTTCTAGCCAAGTCCATTGGGTACTTAGTGTCTGTCCTACTTGGAGGGAGGAGAGTAAGCTAAATCCCCAGCCCTAAATTGATACTTTTGAAGGCTCTGAGCAAAGCATGGCTAAGAAATTAGGTGAAAGACTTCGTATCCTTCTATTCTGCACTAGAAACACTGGCAGCTAGGAAATTTTGAGTCATGTCTGTCGATTAATGGCTAGGTGAAAAATTGGTAAACCATCTCTGTGATGGGCTTAATTTTGTTTTAGACATTGTTCTGTAGAATTTTAAAATAAGATTCCTTTCTGATTCACCAGGCAGAGCAGTACTACTCAAAGTGTCACTTCCGTAATACAGTACATTTCCTTCCTAAGTGATGGTCTTGTTCACTGTGTTTCCTGAAGGCGGCCCTTGGAGCTGGCTTCTCTGACAAGACTCCTGCCCACACTGTCACCATGGCTTGCATCTCCTCAAACCAGGCCATGACCACAGGTGTGTTTGTTTATTTTTAATTTTACTCAAAGGAGTGTTTAAGTAGCACGTCAGTATTTCTCCTTTGTCTGTTATATCATTAGAGGTCATCTAAGTGAGGTAGCTGCGTTCCCAGCTACCAAGAGGATGAGGCGGGAGGGTGGCAAGTTCGAGGCCAGCCTGGGCAACTTAGTAAGGCCCTGTCTCAGAATTAAATGAAAAAGGCTGGGAGAATACCTCAGTGGTAGAGTACCCCTGGGTTCAATTGCAGAGAAAAGAAAGAAAAGAAAGAAAGAGAGACAGACTTAACAGAAACAAATGATTACCACAGATCTCTTCATTTACGTTTCTTAAAAGTAAGGTCATGTTACAGATTTTTGCTTTTTTGTTTTTGTTTTTTTTGGTACTGGGGATTGAAATTCGGACCTTGCGCTTTCAAGGCAGGCGCCAGAACCCCTGAGCTAAATCCCCAGCCCCCAGATTTTTGGTTTTTGACAAGATAGTTCTCAACCTTTTTCTTGATTTCTGTGCATGAGGGACATGGCCTTAATGAATCTCCGCTGTCAGTAATGTTGCTGGCTGCAGCAGGAGGGGCACATCTCTGGGAGGGCGCTTGAGAGCCAGAGGCAGGAATCGTTTATACCCTGTGGGGTTTAGCAAGGTGGTTCTGACAAGATGTGTCCCACAGTGCTGGGGTCCTGCTGCCTCCAGCCCCACCAGAGCTGTAAATCTCTGATTTGGGCAACACAAGTCTTTCACATTCTCCTCACGTCCTTGTCATTGCTGTAAATCATTGCAACTTCTAACAACTTCAGTAATGTGGGACATTTTGTAGCGTCAGCCCTTGATGCATAGACAGAAATCTTGAACGGATTGGTACTCTTGCGCTGTTTTAGTAACATCAAAGCCAGGTTGGGGCCGGGGACTTAGCTCAGTGGTTCTACCTGCCGTGCAAGCGCAAGGTCCTGAGTTCGATCTCCGGTACCAAAAAAACCAGAAAGGTCAGGTTGCACAGCCCAGCTCGTGCATGGCAGGAAATGAATGCCAGTGGTGGTGACTGAGATACTCACTCTAACACATGTCTTCAGCTTCCAGGGGGAGTAATAGAACACTTGCCAGTAGCCGTAAAGAGGGTGGAGGGCTGCCTTTCATCCCAAAAGCATTTCTCTGGCTTGTAGTAGAAATGAACATTCTCTAGAGAAAACTTTCTGAAAACTAACAGTGGGAGCATATAAAATATGCAACTTTGCTGGGAGTGGTGGTTATAATCCCAGCACTCAGATGCCTGAGGCAGGAGGATCACACGTTTGAGGCCAGCTTGGGATACATAGTGAGTTCAGGGTCAGCCTGAACTATACAACGAGCTTCAAACAAAACAGAAACAATAATATGCAAGATAGCCAGGCATGGTGGTGCTGCTCTAGTCCTAGCTACGTGAGAGTCTGGGGCAGGACCATCTTGAGTTCAAGGCCAGTCTTGAGAGCATAGCAAAATCCTGTCTCAAAAACCAAAGCAAACCAAAAACCAAACAAAACCCCCACAAAAATGTAAGATACTCTGATTTAGAATATAGTTTGAAGCAGAGTGTGATGGCACACGCCTGTAATCTAGTCTCCGGAGGCCGAGGCAGGAGGAGTACCAGGAGTTAGAGTTTGAGAGTTGACCCAGTGGTTAGTTATATCTGGAAGTTGATGTCCATGTGGCTTGAGTGATACTTGTTTTTCTCTCATCTTGTTGAATGTTTTGGATCATTTAAAAAATTATGTTAACCTCTCTGTAAAGGTTAGAACTTTCATTACTGATATTGTAAAAGCTGGGCTGGGGATTTAGCTCAGTGGTTCCGGTGCCTGCCACTCAAGCACAAGGTCCTGAGTTTGATCCCAAGTACCAAAAACAAACAAACAAACTGATATTGTAAAAGCTGGTAACTGTTATCAGCTTTTTAATCAAGAAGCTTAAAAATTTCAGTGGCTTGTTGTTTTCTGCCAGCGGTGTTGATGTACTTATAACCGTGCCTTGTAGCTGTTGGCTTGATTGCTTCTGGCCAGTACGACGTGGTCTTGGCTGGTGGTGTCGAGTTAATGTCTGACGTCCCTATTCGTCACTCAAGGAAAATGAGGAAGATGATGCTTGATCTCAGTAGAGCCAAGACTCTGGGCCAGCGACTGTCTTTGCTCTCTAAATTCAGACTGAATTTCCTGTCACCTGAGGTAGGACTTACGCACTTCTATAAATAAAGACCCAGAGATTTAGAATTAGATCTATCAGGTATGCTCTGATATTGTAGATTCTCTTGGTTATAGTGAAGATAATTATTTGGTCGAGATGGAAAAAAAGTTTTTGGAAATTTGAATATTTGGGATTTGACTATTTGAGCCCTTTTTGGCAAGCTCACAAAGAGCTTCCTTTGTCTCAGTCTTGATTGATAGGTGGTAAATAAATAGATATTAACTTTTCCAGATAACACCGCACAATCCTAGGTGTCACACGGCACCTCTTAACAGTGCACCTGCTCTCCGCCTCTCCCTCCCAGCTTCCTGCAGTGGCTGAGTTCTCCACCAGCGAGACCATGGGCCACTCTGCGGACCGACTGGCTGCTGCCTTCGCAATTTCTAGGCTGGAGCAGGATGAGTATGCACTGCGGTCTCACAGTCTGGCCAAGAAGGCGCAGGACGAAGGACTCCTTTCTGACATTGTCCCCTTCAAGGTACCAGGTAAAATGGAGCGCTTTGCCAGGGAGTTCGGAATTGCTCCAGTAGCTCCTAAAACTCTAAAACTGTTACATGCATGACTTTTCTGTAAGTATGTTGACTCTGTCTCCAAAATAGTCTGTATTCTTAAACACAGACTCAAGTTTTGATTTAGGCTGTAATACAGGTAAACACTTGTTCTCGTGATTTTTAAAGCATGTTTCTCTGGAGAAGATATGTAAGGCTTATAGTTCCTTAGAGTGAAAACATTGCTGTTTTTATAGGAAAGGAAACAGTTAGCAAAGATAACGGCATCCGTCCTTCCTCGCTGGAGCAGATGGCCAAGCTAAAACCTGCATTCATCAAGCCCTACGGCACGGTGACAGCTGCAAATTCTTCTTTCCTGGTAACTCTCATGCTCTTTGTGTTTAGTAATGACTTTTCTATTTCTATACACTCACTATAAAAGCCTAAAGTAGGTTTGTGTGTATTATGAAGAGGCCCGAAGATAAATTTACTCAATTTGAAGATAATGTTAAAATAGAATCATTATTTTTAAAAGAAAAATCATAGCTTTTTCTTTTTGTAAATTGAGTATAATTGACAAAAATCGTATGTGTTTAATGTGTACAACATCACAGAGATACCTATACATTGTGAAATAATTACACATTCAAGCTAATTAACTTACCTATCATCTCTCATACTTACAGCAATTCTTTATTTCTTCTGCTTAGAAATATTTTATAATAGCACAAGTAAGAAAATACTCTTAAAAGAAAAACGTGTTCGGCATCTCATTCCCAGAGATAGGTTAAAACAATTAAGTGAGCGTTACTCTGGATGATTTCTTGCTGTCTCTATACATTAATACGGTTTTGAAATGAAAGGTTGGCAATGCCATGCAGATTGTTTTGTAATCCGCCGTTTCACTTAATAGGGTTTTGTGGATATCTTTTCACTTCAATAAATTCACGTTGACATCACGATCTCTTAAGGATATAATTAATAGCTTTTTCTATTCCCCCATTGCCTGCCTTTACACCTCCTCCCTCTTTTCCCTTCCTCTTAGCTGATAGTAGTCTCCCTTTATATTCATATCATTCTTTTAAGATTCCACATATTAGGGAAAACATGGAGTGTTTGTCTTTGAGTCTGGCTTATTCCGCTTAACATGATGATCTCCAGTTCCATCCATTTTCCTGCAAATGACATAACTGTGTTCTTTATGGCTGAATAATACTCCATTGTGTATATACACCACAGTCTGTTTTCCCATTCATCTGTTGATGGGGATCTAGGCTGGTTCTACATCTTGGCTGTTGTGAATTGTGCTGCAGTAAGCATGGGTATGCAGGTACCATGTAGTATGCTGACTTAATTCCTTTGTGTCTATGCCATAACTGAATTGTATGGTAGTTCTAGTTTTCGTTTTTGTAAGGAACCTCTTTACTGATTTCTTTAGTGACTGTACTGTTTACATTTGCATCAGCTGTGGAGAAGGGTTCCTTTTTCCCTGCATTCTCACCAGCATTTATTGTTTTCTGTATTCTTGGTGATAGCTGTTCTGACTGGGGTGAGATGGAATCTTGATTTTTTTTTTTTCAGTACGGGAATTGAACCCAGGGCCTTCACACTGAGCTACATCCCCAGCCCTTTTTAATTTTTTGAGACAGGATCTTCTTGCTCAGTCCCTAGGTTGCTCATGCTGAGCTTGAACTTGCAATCCTTCTACCTCAGACTCCCAGAGCACTAGAATTATAGACATGGGCCTCCATTCCAGGCTTTCAGTGTACTTTTGTATTTCCCTAATGGCTAAAGATGTTGAACATTCTTTCGTATACTCACTGTATTTCATATACTTACCTTTGTACTTCTTTTGAGAAGTGTCTGTTCAATTTTATTTGCCCATTTGTAGACTGTTTCATTTTTTGGTGTTTTCTGAGTTCTTTATATATTCTAGACATTAATCCTCTGTCAGATGATAGCTGGCAAAGACTCTCCAATTCTGTAGGCTGTCTCTTCACTCTGTTGGTTGTTTTCCTTATTGTGCAGAAGCTTTTTAATTTAGTGTAGTTTCATTTGTTGATTCTTACTGTTATTTCCTGGCTATTAGAGTCCCATTCAGGAAGTTTTTGCCTGTGCCTGTGGCTTCAAGTGTTTCACCTTTGTTTTCTTCTAGTAGTTTTAAAGCTTCAGGTCTTATTCCTAGGTCTTTGGTCCATTTTGAATTGATTTTTATACAGAGTGAAATATGGGGATCTAATTTCCTTCTTTTGCATATGGATATCCAACTTTCCCGGAGGCTGTCTTTTCTACAATGTATGATTTTGGCTCCTTTGTTGTCTTAGTTACTTTTCTCATTGCTGAGACAAAAATACCTGACACACAAAGTTAAAGGGAGAAAAGTTTATTTAGCTCACTCTTTGTAGGGGTTATAGTCTGTAATCTGGTACCTCCAAGGCAAGGTGGCATCACAGAGGAAAAACAGTTCATGGCAGGCAGAAGGTAACAAAGGAAGCAAGTGACAATAGCAGCTTCTTTTTTTTTCGTGCTGCGGATTGAATGCAGGACCTTGTACATGCAAGGGAGGCACAGCACCACTGAGCTAAATCCCCAGCCCAGTAGCAGCTTCTTTTTGTCCCTTTCATATTCTATCTAGGCTACCTGCCTTCCACCCTTAGAGGAGTAGCACTCACACTCAGAACTACACCAAACCAATCAGTAGACTGATTTAGTAACTGCACACCCTTAATCCCAGCATCACACACTCTAGATCCAGCCACCTCTGAAAAGGCTCCTCCTATGACCACACGGGGCTTTGAGGGGCATCTAGACACAAGCCATGACGTTTGTCAAGAGTTACATGACTATGGTTGTATCACCTGGCTCAGTTCCACCAGCGTGGTGCGCTACCTCATCACGCCTGAGTGGTGAAGGGTCTGAGTAGATGCTTATTTCCAGAACCAAGCTAGACAATAGGGCCAGGCAGCAGGGGCAGTACTCACCAGATCTGAACGTCCTCGATTACTTCTGTGGTGTGCTACAGGTCTGGGTTTATTCAATGAAGATCAAACACAGACATCATCAGAGGCAACACATCACAGATCCACGGAGTTTTGGAAATACATTAGAGTACCACATCCGTTGCAATTTTGTACAATGGCACATTGAACATACTTAATTTAATCTCTATAAATTGTATATTCTGTGTCATTACCTGTGTTTCCAGACTTTCTGGCTACCTTGTTGGACCCTACTCACTCTCTTCAGCATTGCTCAGTTGTAAAACTATCCTGGATGTGACCTTTTTTTTTTTTTCTTCAAACTATATAGAGTAGTTCCCATTTCCTTGGAATTGTGTGTGGATTTGGGTGGGAGCTCTTTTTTTTTTTTTTTTTTTGGAGTAGTACAGGACTTTTTTCTCCTAGTGGTGTCTCTTTGTCCTCTAATATCTTGATTGTTATTTGGGACAAAAATGTATGGAGTGTGTCCATTTGTACAGTAATACTAATGTTCTCATCTGCCCACCTTCAGTCTTTTCCATTGGTTTGCTTATTACAGATTCTATACATAAAATGAAAACATTCAGAAGCTGTGGGTAGGAAGCAGCTGAGAAATAGCACGGAAAATAAATAAATAAGTTGAATAAATAACAGATTGTTTTAATTTATAAACTTCCTCATTTTCTGTGCCCAAAAGAAAAAAAAGCTTTGGCTGAGTTTATAATGGATTCTTGCATTTCTAAAGTTCTTTTTATTCATTTGATGATTATGATACTCTTTGAACTGGCTCCTCTCTTCTTTAGTGCCCCAAAGCTGGGCCAGTCTTTGTGATTGAATTGTGATTTAATGATAGATACAGTGAAGTTTGTGATGAGTGAGTAGACCCAGGGACGGAATGTAGAAGATGGCTGCAGAGGAACCTCAGGCAGGCCAGAGTTCAGTGTTATTCTGGTTGATGTTTCAGACCGATGGTGCTTCTGCGATGCTCATTATGTCGGAGGACAAAGCTCTGGCCATGGGATATAAGCCAAAGGCATATTTGAGGTGAGTAAATTTTCAGGTGAATTGCCTCTGACTATTTTATTATTGGAGCTAACTCCTCTGTTCTTTACCTAGGGATTTTGTGTATGTGTCCCAGGATCCAAAAGATCAGCTTTTACTCGGGTAGGTAGTACTGTATATTTCTGGCCTTTAATCAAAAGTATTTCATTACCAACATTTATTACACAGATTTTTTTTTTTTTTTTTTTGGTACCGGGGATCAAACTCGGGTTCTTGCGCTTGTGAAGCAGGCGGTGGAACCACTGAGCTAAATCCCCAGCCCAATTACACAGATTTTGAGGTATCTTAAGCTCTGAGTCCATAATTGGTTTGGGGTGTGGATTTTAAAGCAAATAGTAATAATCCTTTTTGGTGTAATTATTTTACAGTTTTGGGTTATTTTCCAATATATTTTCTACTTAAAATTGTTTGTTTTTTGTTTTTGGTACCAAGGATCAAACTCGGGACCTTGCGCTTTGAGGCAGGCGGCAGAACCACTGAGCTACATCCCTGGCCCCTACTTAAAATTGTTAATACAGGGCCGGGGATGTAGCTCAGCAGTGCTGTGCCTGCCTGGCAAGCACAAGGTCCCGAGTTTGATCCCCGGTACTGGAAAACAAAATTGTTAATACAAACTGGCTGTGGTTGCACACGCCTGTAATCCCAGTACTCTGAGAGGCTGAGGCAGGAGGATAGCAAGTTGCCTGGGCAATCTAGTGACTTAGCAAGACCCTGTCTCAAGATACAAAAAAGGGGCTGAGGATGTAGCTCAGTGTGAAGGCCCTGGGTTCAATCCCCAAAAATTTTTCACCAAAAAAAAAAAGTTTTTTATATAAATATACACAAACATGTATACATATACATGCACAAATGTATATTTTTTTCATGAAGATGTCAAACATTTTTTTCATTTTGCTCCACATTCTTGTTTCATAAAAGCCTCCTGAGGCTTAGATTATCTCCTCCTCACAAGGCCCTAGCTTCACTGGCTTCCATTCTGATACCTACCTACCTCACCCCACCTGCTTTCTCTTTTTTTCTTTCTCTGTTATGATCTTGAGACTAGTTAAGTCCTTTTGAATACCTTGCCCTTTGACTTTCATTCTTCTTCCAACTCTACAATATAACCTTAACAAGGACAGAATTCAGCTTATTACCGTATCCCTGGCACTTAATAAGTATTTGTACAGTAGAATCAATAAGTGTAAAACTCAGTTTAGGGAATGTGAAGAAGCTATTAGGTTAAAAATTAAAATTTTAAGTTTCTACCTTTTTTCTTTTCAGGCCAACGTATGCTACTCCAAAAGTTCTAGAAAAGGCAGGATTAACCATGAGTGATATTGATGTTTTTGAATTTCATGAAGCCTTCTCAGTAAGTCATTTGGAGGACACGTCTGAAGGGACTGTAGTCATTAAGGGTGCAGTCCAGGGTTATGGGAGAGAGCAAGGCTTGGTTTATATTATAAATTAAACAGTTAAGTGAACCTTTGTGTATCGGTACTGACTTACATTGTGGGGAGGGGCTCAAGGGGAGAGAATTGAGGATCACACCTATGGGCTTGAAAACATACCTTCTGAGGCTCCTGGAGGCCCTTTGGAGGTACAAAATTGTTTCCTTGGCACATTTTCACTAAAACTGACTTGAAGATTTGCCTAACTTCAAAGTTACAGAAACCCATGCTGAGAGGAGTTTAGAGGAACATTAATAACAAGCTCCTTTATGAATTATTTTCCCTCCTAGGGTCAGATTTTGGCTAATTTTAAAGCCATGGATTCTGACTGGTTTGCACAAAACTACATGGGCAGGAAAACCAAGGTAAGTTTCTGATTAAAAAATATGTTTGTGGCCGGGGATTTAGCTCAGTGGTTCTGCTGCCTGCCTTGTAAGTGCAAGGACCCGAGTTCGATTCCCGGTACCAAAAAAAAAGAAATGTTTGACTATCCAAGGCAAACATTTGGAGCTTAGTTGCCTTCTAAGAAGAATAAGAAGGGAAAAGCTTACTCTTGTGAAGAATTGTATATTTTATTCAGTGTACTGTATTTATGTCTTTGTTTAAAAATAGTTCCTGAAAAATCTTCAGCAAAAATAAGTTTTATGTTACCTTTTGTTCTTCTCATTCAGACATTAAATAAAAAATAAATTAACCCGTGTCTTAATAGTGGCCTAGACTTACTTTTCTTTTGCAGTACAATTATTTGTGATAGATCTAACTTTAGTTATTTCTCCCTGTGTCTGTGCCTTCCTGTTACTAGGAGCCTGGCTTGAGTTGTGTCTTTAAGTAAACTTGCCTTTACACTGTGTCTTTATTTTATGGGAACCAGGTTGGAGCTCTTCCTTTAGAGAAGTTTAATGCCTGGGGTGGATCGCTGTCCCTGGGGCACCCATTCGGAGCCACTGGCTGCCGCTTAGTCATGACAGCTGCCAACAGGCTACGGAAGGAGGGAGGCCAGTTCGGCCTGGTGGCCGCCTGTGCAGCTGGAGGCCAGGTATGTGGGCGGCCTTACCGGGCTTCTAGAAAGTCATTTTCTGGGAACCAAATAAGCTCATCTCGAAAATGTGTCACTCAGTTTAGTTTGAAACATTCTTTTTTTTTTTTTTGGTACCGGGGATCGAACTCGGGTCCTTGCGCTTGCGCAGCAGGTGGCGGAACCACTGAGCTAAATCCCCGGCCCATTTGAAACATTCTTGAGGCAATATTCTGAGCATAGGCAACCAGAAAATAAGCAGCTTTGTTTTGGTGAGGGCAAGCGGGAGGGGGAGCACCAGCTCTAATCCGATGGCACTTCGGAAGGACGATGCTACTTGAATCCAAGCTATGGTTCCCCTTTTTAATGTAAAATTAACTTATGCTCATTATGGAAAATACAAAGAATATAGAGAAGGCAATTAGAATCACTTACAAAGCCCCTTGCCAGGTGCCACCATGCTAAGCATCTTGATATATTTTCTTCCTAAGTGATAAACTTCATTTACCTAATCAGCTTGTGACCTTATCTGTAAAATCTCTCCAAGAGGCAAACTGTCTTTTTAGAGAACTGAATTATACCTTAGTTAGAGAACTAATTTCTAGATAACTTTTTATTGTTCAGCTAAGGAAATGACTGTTCCAACATTTTTTTCCTACCTACCTTGCTCACATTTAGACGTAACTTCCTGCCAGCATTTCACTCTGGGGATAAAATCCAAAAGGAAGACTGACTGTAGTTGTTGTTGTTCTTTTTAATCCTGATGTGAACAGATTTCGTTTTCGTCCGGATTATAGAAACTTCCTTTTACTGGTCTATATGAATAAATAAGATATTTAAAAGTATATACATTTACATTTTAAAGTCTCCATATATGGTTCTTCCTCAGAGACTTGGGAAATAAAGGGCCTGTTATTTATAAGTTGAAACATTTTGGGTTCCATGATCAGAAACGTTTTTAGTCTGTGTAACTTCATCTACAGAAACCCTGGTCAGTTAGGACCTGAGCCCCCTCTCATCTTAGGTGCCAGGCTCTCAGCAAGGAGCAGCTCCCACACAGCTCTGTGCATGGTGCGTGGCCCACAGGGGGCGCTGTCCTTTGCATTCAGCATCTGTTCCCTGATTCTTTATCTCACACTTATGCACAAACTACACTAGATGGTTTTGTGGATGAAGAACAATGCACAGTGTCTCCCTTCTACAAGTTCATAGTATCATGAGGAGTGCAGAGATGATGTGTCTTAGAAACTAGGTTAAACATGACTCCTCGAGAGCCAAACAACTGACACCAACTTGATTAGGAGGTTGAAGAATTCATCATGGTGGAGCTACAGCAGGATTTCTCAGTGCTGGAACTACTAACATTTTAGGCCAGATAATTCTTTGTGGTAGAGGGCTGTGCTGTGTGCTGGAGGAGGTTTACCATGGCCTCTACCTACTCAATTCCAGTAGCAATAAACTCCTCTCCACTCCTGTCCTGTCCATCCTGTCCACATGCACACACAGTTGAAAAGTCAGAGTTATCTGCAGACATTGCCAGTGTTCTCTGGAGAGAACAAGGGTTAAAACCTCCCCAAGTTGAGAATGACCGCTCATGTTGGGGCATGGAAACAGTACATTTTAAAGCTGGAGAAAGAGTGTTCTGCCTTAGTATAGGCCCTTCCAAGACAACTCCAAGTCAGTCAAGTCTTCCCATCCCTGATCTCTGTTGTTGCTTGCTTTTGTGTTGTCAGAAGACTGTGTTGAGCCACCATGTACACTAGGTGGAGGATAGAGACCATGTAGTGAATCTCTAACCTCACAGTGTTCACCTTGGTGCCTTATAAGTAATTGTTTCTTGGGGCTGAGGATTTAGCTCAGTGGTTCCACCGCCTGCCTCGCAAGTGCAAGGTCCTGAGTTCGATCCCCAGTACTGAAAAAAAAATTGTTTCTTAATAAATAGTTTTGAGGATTGAATTGAACCTGGAAGCCAGGAGATTCATTAGGCTATTGATTGGTTTGATAACAGATCAGCGGTTAGAGTGACGTGGCAGTCAGCTAGGGTTTAGACTCATGAAATTGTAAATGTCTCTGCTGGGTATAAAGAAGCACTGTAACTTAGTGCATAGCATGCGCACAGTGACGGAGAAGGAACATTCTTACTGCTTCTCTTTGGGCCCCTCAAGTCATCTCCTTAATCTGTGTAAAATAGCGAAGAAGGGAACAGCTTTGGAATCACCTGGACCTGCTTTCAAGTCCTGGCCTTGTGATTTTGAAATAGCTTTGTGATTTTAGATGAGTCGCTTAACCTCTCAAAGCCTTAAATGCTATCATCTAGAGATATGCTTTTGTCTGTGTTCACTGTGTTGTATTTATCTTTGTATGGCTAAAAAGGCCTCTGTGCTTCCTCATTTTAATAGCAGCCTTTGGTCTGGGGTATAGCTCGGTGGTAGAGCACTTGCCTGGCACGTGCAAGAACCTGGGTTTTATTCCTAGTGCCATGAGCACCGCCCCCCCAAAGCAACGATTTATAGCCTATCTACTAAGGATGAGACTCTATTAGAAAGTCTGGTGCATACATGTATCTGTGTATATATATGTGTGTATGCTATATGCTTGGTAATGCACAAAAACGTAATGAAGTAAGCCCCAGAAGTCCATTATAGAGGAGATTGAGGTTCAATATGGCTACTAACTTTCCCATGATCACACAGTGCTTGAATGGCAGAGCCAAGATCAAACTGCAAAGCCTGTACTTCACTGTTCTCCATACTGGCTGAATTCATCACCTTTCATCACTCTAATTAAGCTTTTTTTTCCCTTTACAGGGCCATGGTATGATAGTGGAAACTTACCCAAAGTGATGGATCCGGAGGAGGTGACCACGTTTCTGTGCAGCACTCGCACTGGGCAATGCCATTTCAATGCATTACTAAACGACACCTGTAGTCCTAGCTCCTTTTAGGAGAACATTTGTGGCCTTCTGTTAAACACTTTGCAATTAAGCCTTTCCAGTGTTCTCAGCTTTTCAGTAATCACAGCTTCCTGTACTTTCAGGGATTTCTAAGTTTCCAGAATATCATACAGATATATTTAACCAGTTGCTTTTGATCTCTTGTCATCAAAGACTGAATGAATGGTTGCATTTTAGGAAAGGTTAACTGAGATCTGAAGTCATCTTTGTAACATTTGCAAATTACATTTGTTCTTATCTGTGTCCTGAAAATACACATTTCTCTAAAATATAAACCAATGTGCCTAAATTAACTAATTATGGAAAAATAAATCAATCTAAATATCATGAAAAACTTAAGTATTTAAATACACAAATATCTTATTGGTCAACCTTAATAAAGTAGAGAAGTACTGGAGAACTGTTTGCCTTATTTTATAAGGAAGAGAAGGTTGTTCTCCTGGTGAAGGGGCAGAGTTTACCTTTAACTGCGTATTTGTAACTTCCAGCCATTTCAGTCAGCCATGAAGATGCTAGGAATATAAGGAGTGTCCTGCTTTAGAATACACCCCCCCCATTTGCTTTGATTGAAGTACATTTATTTCATTGTTTGGAGTTGCTTCTGTTTGGTAGGTTTTAATGAAATATAAAATAAGTTTTTTCTTTGGATCAACTGCTGTGAACCCTCTCAGATTTTTGACAAGCACAGTGTCCTAAATAACATATATGCTAGTCCTTTGAAGAAGCAGAATGGTCAATTGTGGCCATTTGTGTGAACATATATATTCGATTCGAATGGTGCCTGCCTAGAATCCCAGCTACTTGGGAGGCTGAGGCAGGATGATTCCAGGCTCAATGCCAGCCTAGACAATTTAGTGAGAAAAAAATAAAAAATAAAAAAAAAAGCTAGGTGTGGTGGCACACGCCTGTTATCCCAGAACTCAGCAGCCTCTGAGGCAGGAGGTGAGTTGGAGGGCTACATAGTAGTAAGTCCACGTCTCAAAAAAAAAAAAAAAAGAAAGAAAACACAAAAAGGGGGTTGGGAGAGCTCAGTGGTAGCACATTTGCCTAGAGTGCATGAGGTCTTATGTTTAGTTCCCAGCACCAAAAGAAAATCCAAACAGAAGAGTATTTGTGAGTTCCAGGATCATTTGCTCTTGATTTCCTTGGTAATTTAAACACAATCTGAATTTTAATTTAATTAAAACACAATTTTAGTACTGAAAACCATTATATTTATGTATCACAAAAATAAATTCTAGATTAAGTGAAATATATAAAAATAAAACTAAAAAAATTTACGACAAACGCTATTGTGTCCTTAGGTTGAGGAGAGGAGAATTTCACACAGAAAATATTTGTTTAAAGTGCTAAAAAAAATAAAGTGCTAACTATAAAAGAAAAGGTCTATAAATTTACCCTAAAATGAGAACTTTTAGTCTTCATATGATACAAAGTCGTACAGAAACAAGCAATAGTGGACAAAGATATTTACAGTAGATACAGCTTAGAAAGGATCCAGAGTATATGACGAATTCCTACAGAGCATGAATAATGACAATACAGTAAAAAAATGAACAAAAGATACATGTTTTAGAAAATGATATAAAATGGTGAATAAACATTCACCAAGATGCTCAGTAGTAATCAGAAAAAAATTAAGATTATAATGAGGTTTTATACCTATAAGCCTGCAAAAAATTAAGACTGAGAATTGCAAGTATTGGTGAAGATGTGGAACGATAGAAACTTTTAGACACAAATGATGAGAATATAAATTGGTTCAGCCACTTCAGAAAACAGCCTGATATCTCGTACATTTAAATAGAACACAAGGTCTGTGGTCCAGCATTTCCACTCTTTGGAATATTCCCTCATGAAACTTGCACGTCAGCCCAGAAACAATTGTTCATTACAGCATTACTCTTAGCAAAATACTGTAAATGACTCATGTTGACAGGAAACTTTTAAAAATAAGCAAAACTGAGTCATTTCTAGGATCCCTACAGATGAGTTTAAAATAGTTTCTACACCAGCAAGGTAAGGAGAAAGACAAATCTGCCTTCCAGAATTCCAAATGATACATGTAGATACTTCCTGCTCCAGAAGGTGGGGGAGGCCCTTCCCCTTAGATGGGGGCTGGACTCCGGAGAACAGAGCTTGGGATGCAGGAAAAGACAGCCTTACAGTGAAGAAATGGCCATCCCAAGCTTAGCCAAGTGGTCATGGTTACCAGAAGACCGCCTTCTGGTAACACATGATCAAAGGGGTGCTTCAGCTCTGTGGCATTTTTACAGAGTACCCATAATTTAGTTCATTCGTGGGAAAGATCAGGCAAACCCAAATCAAGGGACAGTCTGCAAGGTACGTGGCCAATATTAAAAACTATCAAGGTCATGAAAATAATGAGAAGTTGTCAGAAAAGGAGGCATGATGACTCTGTAACAGAAAAGGGACGTTAATGGTAAAATGAATGAAATCTGAATAAAGTCTGGAGTTGAGTTGGTACGTTGTTTTTTTAAGCTGGCAGTTGAGGATACAGCTCAGTGGTACACCGCTTACCTCGTATGCATGAGGCCCTGGGTCTGATCCCCAGCCCTGCACCCCCGACCCTCAAACCCCAAACACCAATAACATTACAGAAGGAAAGCCACACACGCACATGCATATGTGTTCGGATGAATTTTGACATGGATCCCAGGACAATTCAATGAGGAAAGGACAGACTTGTCAGCTTGTCAATAGATGGTGCTGGGAAAATGATACCCACATGCAGAAGAATGAAATTGGATCTTGCATCATATACAGAAATTTAACTAAAAATGGATCAAAAACCTAAACATAAAAGCTAAAACTGTGGAACTCTTCGAAGAAAATATATGGCATTGGATTTGGCCGTAAGTTCTTGGACATTTCATCAAAAGCACAGGCAACAAAAAACATTAGCTAAATTGGACTTCATCAAAATGAAAAACTGCATCAAAGGGCCCAATCAACTGAGTGAAAAGGTGCCCTAGGGTACAGAAGAAAACGTTTGCAAATCGGACAGCCCTAGAAGGGGTTAATAGACTATCTAAAGAATTCTTACAGTTCACAACCAGAGAAACAACCCAATTTAAAAATGGGCAAGTGAGGTGATGGTGCATGCCTGTCATCTCAGCTACTTGGAAGGCTGAGGCAGAAGGACCGGAAGTTAGAGCCAGCCTGGGTAACTGAGTGAGACTCTGTTCACAAATTTAAAAGGGCCGGAGATAGAGCTCCGTGGCTGAGCCCTTGCCTGGCGTGCACAACGCCCTAGAATTCCCAGTACCCCCATCACGACTTACACAATTTATATAGACACTTCTCAAAAAGAGATATACAAATGGCCAATAAGCACACGGAAACATGCTCAACACCACTAATCATTAGTGAGAGACCCTAGTTAGCAAAACAGACTCCGTATTGCTGCTGACCGACCCACCCGCCTGCCCTTTAGATGAACTCAAAAGGAGGAAGCTTAGAAACCTCCTCCCCTAAGAGAGTCTCTTAGAAACAACAATTAATCAACTTTTGTTTTACAAATGTTCTAACGACAAGATGTTCAGCTTCTGTACCTTTTGCTTGCTTTGCTAGTTCTATCCCATAGGGGGGCCTAGAAACTGTTGCCTTCAAGGTGTATAAAATATGTTAATCTCCCCCCAATTGGGGCTCGAGTCCAATGCTCAGCTCGGGTCCCGGCCGGTAATAAACTCCTGTGTGGATTTAATATCGGTCTCTGGTTGGTTCTTTCTCGCTGGGTGTAACAATTAGGAAAATCCAAATCAAAACCACAATGAGGAATCACCTCACATCTCTTAGGATGGCTGCTATCAAAAAACTAACAAGGATTGGTGAGGACGTGGAGAAGTTGGAGCACTTGTGTCCTCAATGTGGGAATAGAAAATGCTGCAGCTGCCATAGAAAATAGCACAGCAGTTCCTCAAAAAACATTAAGCACAGAATTACCATATGGTCCAGCAGTTCTACTTCTGGGTTTATATCCCATAGAATTGAAAGCAGAGTTTTGGAGAAATCTTTGTATACTCATGTTCACAGCAGCATTATTGACAATAACTAAAAGGTAGAAGGTGACCCAAGAGTCCATGGGCAGATAAATGGACGAACTGCATTGCCACATACATAGAATAAAATACTTTGCAGACTTAAAAGGGTGATAATCTTGTATAAACCACGAGGACATTATGCTGAGCGAAATAAGCCTGTCACAAAAAAGGACAAGAGCAATATGATTCCACTTATATAAGTCTTCTAAAGTTGTCAGGTTCCTAGACACAGAAAGTATAGCCGAGGTGCCAGGCACTAAGAGACAGGGGATGGAGGAGTTGCCGTTTTGTGGAGATAGTTTTAGTTTTGAAAGATAAAGAGCATCCCAGGGACTTGTTAAACCCCAATGTGAATGTAGTTTACTGAGCGATACACTTAAAAATGTTTAAGATTGGGCTGGGGATTTAGCTCAGTGGTGCCGCCACCTGCCTCACAAGTGCAAGGTCCCAAATTTGATCCCTGGTACCAAAAAAAAAAGTTTAAGATTTAGCCACCATTTTAAAGCTATTTTTCTAAAAGGTAAGGGAAGACATGGTCAGGGTAGAGGTCACCTCTGGGTGGGGGAGAGCACACAGCCAAGCCAGATTCACATTTCTGGTTCTGAAGTTTTGTCATAGGTTCACTCAACTCGACACGATTTATGTGTTAGTTCAAAGTGGCCTATACTCTAAGAGAAAGCTGAATGATTTTATTAGCCTGTTTCTGAAGATCATCCTGGGCTGATATGGCTTGGCATGGCCTCCATCTACATAGCTCTTGATGTTCATTCTTAGACATCCTAAACTGCTTATGTTATTCTTTTTTTTGGTACTGGGGATCGAACTCGGGTCCTTGTGCTTGCAAGGCAAGCAGCGGAACCACTGAGCTAAATCCCCAGCCCTGCTTATGTTACTCTTAAAGATTCCAACTTAAGTGTTTCTATTGTCTGTCTCTCCCACCTGCCCCCCTACCCCCGTACTGGAGATTGAACCAGGGCTCTTCGCTGAGCCACATCCTTAGCCCCTTTTTATTTTGAGACAAGTTCTCTCTCAGTCACTGATTTGCCCAGGCTGGGCTCCAATTTGTAATCCTCCCGCCTCTGCCTTTCAGAGTGCTGGGATTACAGGTGTGCACAACCATGCCTGGCTTTTGTAAAACTTCAGTTAGATTCTGTGTTCCACCAAATAACCATCTGGGAGGGGAGCCACTTATTTGCCCTGTCTTCTGTCATTTAAACTTTTATTTGTTTATGTATTTTTTGTGGTACTGGGGATTGAACCCAGGATATCGTACATGCCAGGCAAGTGCTCTACTTCGGAGCCACACCCCCAGCCCTGTCATTTAAACTTTTATAAGGTTTGCCCCCACCTCAGCAGTTTGCTTGTGACAGTCTCTGTCTCCAGACAGCAGTTCATGTTCTTCCTTTGGTTCGTATGGTTCATTCATTCCACAGTGTGTTGGTGCCTGCTGTGTATCAGGCGCTTATTCTATTTTTTTTTTTTTTTTTTGGTACCAGGGATCAAACTCGGGACCTTGTGCTTGCGAGGCAGGCCGCAGAACCACTGAGCTAAATCCCCAGCCCGTCAGGCGCTTATTTTAGATGTTGAGGCCACAGCAACCAATAAAACAGAAAAATCCCTGTCCTCCTTGCTCCCATCTTTCTGGAGAAAAGAATCCTGATTCTTCTCAGTCTATTGTTTCCTCCCAGCCTTTCTCAGTTTTGTTTACTTTCTCCTGGCTTTTCCAGTTCTGGTCTTCCTGCAGGAATGAGAAGCAGAGACAGGGTTTGGATCTCAGAGCTCCCAGGAACCCTGGTTTATCTGGACTCAACTAGTGTACTCTGATTTTTCAATGAAGGGGAGGCATTTTCTGGCAGGACGTTTTAACGGAAGGACAAGAACAGTGAATAGTGATAGTATTTTTAAAGGAAACACATTCCTGTGAAACACAGGAAGTGTTTGGATATACTGGCCGTGTCTGTAGCTGCAGTGAACTCCACTAGGGAGACCCTTTCCCTCCCACCGCAAAAGGGCTGTCTGTGTTCCAGCAGAAGCAATTCCCAAAGCAGAACCCTAAGTAGGGGGTTGGAGCTTCCTCAGGAACCCAGCTGCAGTCTACCTGTCTGTCCAGACCTAAATTCCAGGGGGGATTTTGTGTTTCTTTCCTTGTCAAGTTTATGTGTTTAATATACAAAATGTTCAGGAAAACTTTTTCAAAATAATTTAATTTTTTCTACTATAAAAATACTGCAGGGCCGGGGATTTAGCTCAGTGGCACCACGCCTGCCTTGCAAGCGCAAGGTCCTGTGTTTGATCCCCAGTACAAAAAAAAAATACTGCACATTCTTGTTGCGGTTCCATAGGTTAACCTTAGAGATCTAACATACAGCATGAGAACTATAGTTAATACTATGCCACTGTGATATATGCGCATCCATGTGCATAGCAGCACAATTTGTGATAGCTAAAACTTGGAAGCAAACCAATTGTCCATCAACTGGAGACTGGATAAAGAAAATGTGTTTTTTTAATAAAATGGAGTACTACTCAGCCATAAAGAATTAGAAATTAGGGACATTTATAGCTAAATGGATGCACATTGAGCCATACTCTTAAGTGAAATAAATAGGACACGTGTAAATATTGAATAGTTTCTCTAGTGTGAGAAACTGAAAGTGTAAATAAGGGCTAAAAGGTATAATAGATAATGTGAAATAGGAAGAAAAGGGGCAAAGGGGAAGGGGAAGTGGGAGGGGTAGGGGAAAGGAAAGAAGGGAATGGAATTAATATGAGAAAATGAAAAAATGGAAACAAAGTCTTTGTAGATAGGGAGGGGTGGAGGGGTTGAAGGGAGGGCAAGGGAATGGGGAAAAAATAAGAACCAAGAGAGATCATGTAAAGGTGCAAATTTCCCATGATGAATGTAACTGAATTGTATACCTAAAATGCACCAATAATATTAATTTTTTAAAAAGCTGGAATTCTGCATCATTTGTTTATAAATGACCATGGGTAATAAAATTTTCTGTTAATTTTCTAAAAAAAATACTGTTTTGTATGCTGGAAATTTGTTAAAAATATAGATTTTAGGGCTGGGGATTTAGCTCAGTGGTTCTGCCGCCTGCCTCGCAAGCGCAAGGTCCTGAGTTCGATCCCTGGTACCAAAAAAAAAAAAGTATAGATTTTAGGTGCTGTTACTACATACGCACACACAAACACACACACACACACACACACAGGCACAAGTTAACTATGTGAGGTGATGAGTTGGTTATTTCTCATGACTTCAGTAATCATTTCATTATGTATATGTATATCAAAACATATTTTATACTTTAATATATACAATAAAAATGTTAACTGTAGAAAGTTCAAACAATAAAGTAAGATTAGGAAGAAAACAAAAAATCAAGCAGCAATATCTACCGTTGACATTTTGATATCTCCCCTTTTCAGTGCATGTTTGCATGGACCAAAATACCTAGTAGAATGCTGCCTGGAACTCTTGTTGACTTAGCTGTGTAGCCTAAATGTTGTTCCATAGTAGTAGATGCAGCTACAAGTCATCATTTTTAATGATCACCTAGCACTCCGCATATGGAGGTCACCTAATTTATTTTACCAAGTGGACATAACCACATTGGAGTGCACAACCTTTGTCCATTTGTCTGATCACTTATGTACTTCTCTCTCTCTCTCTCTTCCAGTGTTTTGAGACAGGGTCTCCCTGTGTAGTCCAGGCTGGTCTTGAACTCACTAAGTAGTCTAGGCTGGCCTCAAACTCATGATAATCCTCCAGCCTCAGCTTCCTGATTGCTGGGATTATAGTTGCTTATCTCTTTAATCTACCTTAGAAATGGAATTGCTGCTTAATGCCAGTTTGTGTCTCCTAGAGCCTTTTTATGGTCCGTGTGTGTGTGTGTGTGTGTGTGTATGTGTGTATGTATGCATGTACATGTGTATGTATTTTATGGTGCAAGCCAAATAAAGACAATGCTATTTTATCTGCCAGTTCTAAATCTGGGGCTTTACCAGCAGCGCCTGCATCGAGGATGCTCTGGGGAAGGGAAAGGAGAACACATCCATCTACAGAAGCCCACTTAGGAAAGGAGTCTGCCGCTTGCAACGGGGAAGAGTGCATTACTGGAATTTGTAACCCAAAATAGTTTTATGACTTTACAATCGGACTGCAGGTATTAATGAAGTGACCGTGAGGGGCCGCAGGGCAGGGCCTCGCCTGTCTCAGCAGCTCAGCCTCCCTCAGGCCAGCGCGAGGGCGCAGCATGGAAGCCTCGCAGTGGCCTCCTCATTGGTTATCTCAGATTTGGAAGCATAATTGAACCCACTTATAGAAATATTTGGACAAGTTTATCCACAGTTAAAATAGACACATCAATCACTGAGTAGAGATACAGGGTTTGGAAGAAAAATATTTTCAAGGACATGTGATACTGTATCCATTTTTATTTTAACAGAGAATGTTCCCATTCCATTTTATAAAAATACCCACACATTATGTAATTTAAAAACCAACTCATCAGAATTTTTTGCATTGAGCTAGTCTAATGTTTTTTCAGAAGCATCTCACTTTCTGCTTGTGAATTTTAAGTTAATTCCACCAGACCTGGTACTCTCTGAAAGCTTTTCTTACGTCTTGCTTCTCTGTGTACTAGTCTTCACTGGGTCTTGTCACATTTAGATGTCAGGGCTTGTAACCTTTGCCCCATAAGTCTTACCAGTCAATGGGACCTTTCTCTCTGATTTAAACTTTTATAAAAAATTCTTTAAAATGTGTTCACATCAGTGCCTCTTTGTAGATATGCCTATGTCCCTGAAACATATTTTATATTGATTTTTTTTAAGTTCAAGGAAGAAGGTCTAAGAAACTTCACCTTTCTCTAAACCTCGAAAAGAATCAAATTCTGCCCTTCATCCCCAGTGATTGGGAAGATCCGAGGCTCCTATCAATTAGTGTCCTTTCTTTATGACCATCAGAAAGGGGTGATCAGAAAAGAGATGATGGCATGCTAGAACCACTTTCGTCCATTATTTCTGTAAAATGGCCTGTTGATCATTTCAAAACTGGTGGAGATCGTTTTACTTGCACTTATCTGGAACTTTGATATCTGATGATGAGCTGGGCAGGAAAGGCGGGTTCAGTTGTGAGGTGAGGTTGTTGGGTGGGTCAGTGAGATTTTCAAGCCATTCTTGCTTGGATGCGTTAGGGTGGGGAGACTGAGCTGCAGGAGAAATGGGTGTGGCTAATGGAAAAAGCCTGCCTTTCCCAAGGTGAGCAGGGAAGGATGCAGGGCCCCTGGGCCAGGGCCCATCAGGCGGATTCCCGCTCGTGCCCTCCTTGGTGGGATGGTGTGCGTTTGCCCCTGCTCCCCCACCCCGTGAAAGAGCTCACTCTGAATCTTAGGGCTGGTGACAACCACCTTGCCCAATTGCAGGCTGCCTGTCCTCTGGAAAACAAGGCCACAACCATTCCTTTAAAACAAGGTGATGGTTTTGTTTGTGTGTGTGTTTTTGCTTTTAAGGATAATTTGGAGTTCAGTAGTGTGAAAAGGGATTTTCAGGGAGAACTGAGCCCAGGTTTGTTGATGCTAGGCCTCCTGCACTCGGAGGCTCCTCTAGGCTCCTCTGTGGCCACCCTAGGAAAGCCTGCTTTCCACCCCATGTGAAAAGGAGCCACTGTCGTGTATTTTCCCAGAGACCTTTAGCTACACTCATCCTCATTCTGCAAGCCACGCTGCTCACACTGCTCCTGAGAGAGCTGGTCCTCACCTGGCAGTTTGGCTTCCTCCTCGGCTCTGTTCTGAGCAGCAGGTTTCATTTGTGGCCTAGGAAGAGATGGAGACCCAGCTGCTGGGCAGCCACCCCTCCGTGAAGAGACTGCACCCACTGTGACCGACTCGTCTGCACCTGCCCGGGATGCAGTAATCCCCAGAACTTGCTCTAGCTACATTGTCCCGTGCGCACTGATTCTGCCCTTTCCCTTCAAATCTTAGCCCAGGGAAGATTTTTACACGGAGAAAACCAGGGACAAGAGCATCATCAGAACCCAGGTCAGAGTCAGGAACCTGGGAATCTGATTGCTCTGGCTCACCTGCTCCTGTCACGTCAGAGAGCTTGAACCTGAAAACTACGCATTCTGGAGAACAACCCTAGTCTTCTCCTGGCACCCAGCTGTGCCCATCTCTGGGGAAGGTTGTGGGTCCCCTCTGATCTTTCTGGGAGCCAGCTGCAGCCTTGGAGCCAGCAACTCACCAGGGAGATGTTGGAGCTGGGGTGTCGGGTGTGGCAGAAGCGTTTGCGTAGGGCCTCTTGCACCTGGAGAGGAGAAGTAAATGCCCCAGCTGTGGCAGTCAAGTCACTGCCCTCTGGCTGCAGGGCTTGGCAGGCAGACTCACCTTCTTGTCTATGAGGCAACCAAACCATAAGATGAAGACTCCCTGCAAAGAGGGGAAGGAGAAAAGCTGGTGAAGGAGGAGGGAGTGAGCGCCTATGGAATTAGCTTGCTCCCCGCCCTCTTCCTGCAGCCTCTATCCTCTGGTCTAATCCACATCCCAAGGCATCCTGTCTTGGTTTTTCTGAAATGAGCACCACTTGGTGCATAGGATCCATTTCAGGTGCTTTTCTTATTGTCATGGTTACAAAAGGGACAGCACGGGATTGGGTACTGACAGTTTCCTTACTTGTCTAGCAAAGTCAGATATTATTTTACACATAGGAAAACCGAAGCTCAGGTTATATAATTTGTCTGAAGCTATCCAGCTAGGCAGTGGAGGAACCAGGATCTATACCTAAGCCTCCCAAAAGTCCTGAATTTTCTTCTGCTGCACCATGCCGGCTCCTTGAGAAGCAACGGGCAGGGACTTAGACCATTGAAAAGGGCAATAAACACAGACCGACACCCCCACACAGCTACCTGCGAGGAGTTGAGAATGACGAAGATGTAGTGAGGGATTGCGGAGGCCTCCTCCAACATAGTCGCCAGGCCCAGCCCCCAGGTGATGCCAAAGATGGGTGTGAGGATGAGCAGGGCTTTGAGCACCCCTAGAAGAGCCTGGCGCTTCTCAACTGAGGGCCCTTCTGACAGCGAAGGTCTCAGCAACTTCAGCACAGTCATGGCTAGTACCAGCCCATTCACGCCCACGATGGCCAGCACTGGCCCCACGAACGTGTAGACGGCTGAACCCTTCCCATCCAGCCAGCATTGCCCTTCCCTCAGGTATTGCCCTCGAGGCAGGTAGAGGCCCAAGGTGACACCTGCAAAGCCCAGGGGGCACAGGTAGCCAAGGATCACCATCAGGGAGAGAATGAGGTGCTTAGACAGCTGATGGAAGACAAAAAGCAGCTGGTGAGCCAACAGTAGGGCCTGCGCCAGCATCCAGAAGAAGGTGCCCAGGTAGAAAAAATGACACAGGAAGGCAGTGGCCAGGCAGAGCAGGTCCTGAGTCCCTGGGAGAAAGACTGAGCCTACCAGGTACCAAGTGTCTGCAGCCAGCAAGCAGATGGCCATGTTGAGCAGGGCAGCGTGTCGGAAGAAGGCAACTTTGTTCCGCACCACGGCTCTCCACACCAGCCTGTACACGGTCAGGCACACAAGCAGCGCCAATATGGAGGCACCCAAGCCCACCTGAGTCAGTAGCTCCAGGACGGGGTTTTCTGGAACAGTATGCCGGGACATGAGGGTGGAGAAGGCAGTGAGATGCTGGCAGATACATTGAGTGGCAAGGCCGTCATCCGCCGCCTGTGCCTGGCACCCTGAATCTGACCAGCCTCCCACATGCTGGAAGAGACTGTGGTCCCAGAAGACGCAGTGCAGGGCACCATGTGTTTGCCCAAAGTCCATGATGACCTCTGCTTGGGTGAAGGCTTTGCCGTCTGCCATGATGGAGATGACAAGCACCAGGCCAGGGGTGCCATACTGGAGGTCCCCCAGCCCTTGCCTGGAGTTGGAGGGCAGAAGGTGGTCCAGGTTTTGCAGCACCAGACCGGTAACACTGACACTGGTTCCATTATGGACCAGTGGGGTCAGTGCATACCTGGGAATCCGGACCCACAGTGGGGGCTGAGTGGAGAAGGAGATTTGGTAGTCGCCAGCAAGTGGGGGTTCCAGGAGCTCACTCTGCAGCAGCACATTGGAGGAGCTGAAGGAGAAGGGCTGATCCTTTGGGCACAGGCTGCGTGCCAGGGTCTCCACAGCCAGCAGGAAATCTGAGCCCATTGAGGGCTCCTGGGCCTGGGCCAGGGTCCACAGAGAGCTGACATTCGTGTCTAGGACCTTGTCTGTGATTGTCAGGAGATCCTGTGGCACCCGAGAGACAGAGATGAGCCTGATCTACTGGAGCCCACAGTGCTGAGCCAGGGGAGCTTGGGCCTTCAGACCCCAGCCCTACCCTTCCTACTACCGGCGTAAGACCCAGGGCTGGAGAGCAAAGGGGACAGAAGATGGGCCTGTGAAGGAGACCTCCCAGGTGGGGGACTAGGGCACATCTCCAAGCATGTGGTCTCCTGATCACCCAGCCCCTCTGTCTGACAGCCCCTTGGGGCTACCTGGGTCCTAAAAGGAGGGCCCCTTTCCAATTTCTCATGCCTTCCAGATTTGCAAAGCTAGGAAAGGGGGCACAATGTTCTGAAGTCAAGGCCACATTCATGTCTGCAGGGCCATATATGCTGTGCTGTCCAGACATGAAGAGCGGGTGACATCATTGCCCCTTGTTATTCATTTGCAGTTCCTGGGTCACCAACTACAGTCCCTGCTGAGGGTGATTTAGGTGGGTCCAGCAAAGCCCAGTGTGTTTGAGTGTCTTTGTGCAGTATCACATGCATGTGCACACATACATGTGTGTCTGTGTGTGAGAGCCACACATCTGCACGTGCATGCACACCTCCACACTCACGTCTCCTTACCCCTTCCTGCCTTTCCTACCTCCCATGTGCTCCTATCACTGCACGCCACAGCCACGGAGCCAGGCTGCCCATGGTGGTATCAGACGGGCAAGAGGGCCCACGAGCGAGGAGTCTCCACCCCCACTGTCCAGCTGGCATCTGCCGAGGCTCAGAGCTCTCACCTTCAGGGCACTGGGTGTGAGCGCTGTTCTGACCTCAGCCACCACGTCAGCCAGGACTTCCACAGTGCTCAGCAGTTTCAGTAAGTCAGAGGGTGAGCTTGTCACCTCTGCCCTCTCCTGCAGCCTTTCCAGGATCTGTGGCACCCTTCTATCTGGCTTTCCCTGGCCGGCCTGCAGCAGCTGGGATGGACGAGAGGGCAGGAAGGAGGGTAGTGGGAGAATCCTCACCAGAGGAGCCTCCCCTCCCCTCTTCCTCCTCTCTCTTCCCCACCTCCCCCGCTTCCTCCCACCCAGCTCCTTGCCCTCTATGCCCACGCCTGTTCTGGGGAGCAGGAAGCAGGGACTGAGGCTGATGTCAGGGGACAGACACTGGATGGGACTGTGGCTTGAGAGCAGGCAGAGTGCAGGCCCCGTGAGGCCCCACACCTACTTCCGGGCTCTGCTAGAGCTCCCTGTGATAGAAGCTGAATAACCCTTGGCTGGCCTAGGGGAAGGATCTAAAGCTAGGTCTGAGGGGACTGCGGAGGGAGGCTTTACCCTGGCTTCATCATACAAGGCCAGGATCCCCACGTCTGTGCAGTTGTGCTGGACAGGCCCCCAGGCCCCATCAGGCCCACAGAGCCTCTTCACCGTGCCTGCCTTGTTCACGGGACAGGGGACCTGGGCCACGTGGCCAGCCTTAGTGACATTCCAGGCCACAGCCGAGAAGTCTTCAGGGCAGGCAATGTCTCCATCTGAACAGTGATAAGCAGAGAGGACTCAGCAGTCGCAGTTCAGCCTGAGCCTTTGCTTGGGCCCAACCTAAGCAGGCCCCAGAGGCCGGCCCAGTGGGCAGAGGAGCATCATGGAGAGGCTCCTGGTCCAGGGCAAGCAGCTAGGGGCCTGCTGGACCCCAAGCCCCACGTACCCCGGATGATGGTGACAGCGACAGATCTCCTAAGAGGATCCAGGCCCTGACTCTCCAGCACGCAAGTGTACGTGGTGTTGGCTTCCGGGCAGTGCTGGACGTCCAACAGCAGACACTGAGAGCCTGTCCTGTGGATCAAGGAGACTGAGGGGAGAGAGGGGAGAGAAGGAACAGCTCAGCAGACAGCAGGCCCGGAGTCTTTCAGAACGTAAAGCAGTGGGGAAGGAGCTGAGTGGTACACAGGTACCAGACTATTGAGCGCAGACTGGGTTTTGCTGAAAAGCTCCCCGAGGGTCTCTAACTACTTCCAGGACTCAGTTTCCTCATTTGTAAAATGTGGGCCACCATTGAACTAGCCATGTAACGTTTACTGTGAGAGTTCAATAAAGATGTGGAGGAAGCAGTCTGTAGAATGCAGTACGCGGCTGTGTTACGTCAACCGAACTGCGATTGCTCTGGCTGGCCTTGGACCCCCAATTCCCAGCCTCCACTGCAGCCTCCTCTTGGCAGTGCCAGAAACTCAGCTGCTGGAAGAGACCAGCTGCCCCTGTCCTCTCTGATCCCAGTGTCTGGCCCCTCTCCTACCTTGGCTGCCCTCTCTGGGGCTCCAGGCAGCAGTGTAGACCAGGTTTGTGCTGGGAAAGCAGCAGCTCAGCTGGAAGCCAGGGGAGGCCGCGCAGGCAATGGACAGCTCATCTGGAAATCGAGCCACTTCAGCCTTCTGCAAGGGCACCTTCACCTCCTGCTGCAGCTTCCAGATGAATCCCTGGGCCTCAAAGTAGATGATGTACTCACCTGCAGACACACACATGCTGCAACTTGGGGCGCCCCGGAATCTGCTGCTCCCAAGCCATCGCCAGAGTCGGCTGATGACTTCCCTCCCCTGCTTACTACCAGAGCTCAGCCACAGCCAGAGAAGCCCTGGGATGGCCCTTTCATGACAGAGACCCTCACTGGTTGCATAGCTCAGAAGCCAGCAGGCCCGTAGTCTTTCCAGTACTTCCGGGACATGAAGCAGTGGGGAGGAGCCGAGTGGTACATGGGCATCGAACTACTGAGGGCAGAATTTGAGTTTTGCTGAAAAGCTCCCTGAGAGATCTCTAAGTAGTCCAGGACTCAGTTTCCACATTTAAAAAATGGCCACCGTCACACTAACCACACAGGGTTTATCACAAGAGTTAAATGAGATCGTGTGGCCCTGGCTCCAGGAAGGCTTTGTAGGAGGAAGAAGAGGTCTGTAGATCAGCTTCTGCCCTTCCTTCTGAGCCGCTGGCCGTAGGCGAGTCTTTCTCCCTACAGTCACGCCCTTCCTATGTTACTCCTGTCCTCCAGCATGTGGACAAATACCGATCTGTTCTCAGCTGAAACTGAGACATTTTTCACACACTCCATATTATAAATTCCTCCCTTTCTCTCTCTCTCTCTCTCTCTCTCTCTCTCTCTCTCTCTCTCTCCAGTCCAGGCTGGCCTTGAACTCACTATGTACCCCCAGAATGCTTCCAGCTCTCAGCAATCCTCCTGCCTCAGCCTCTCAAGGGCTGGAATTACAGGCATGTGCCACCACGCTCAGCTTTCTTTTGTTAACAGAGATGTTTGATGAGAAATAACTACATTTTCCAAAATGAAACATAAGTAGAAGAATGGGATTGTTGTACATTTTTGCTTGTCTTTCGAATGTCTGGCTAACGGGAAGCCTCCTGCTTCTGCAGTCTCTGTGACAGCTTGGCAACACCGCAAGATGCCACTGTGTAACGTAGGGGAAGTGAGAACGAGATAGATGACACTTTCCTGTGTTAGGACAATTGTGACCTTGTGAAGCCTGAAGATCCCAGAAGTTCCCAGACAGTGAAAACAATTGATTTTTTGTGTGTGTGTGCCGGAGATCGAACTCGGGACCTTGAGCTTGCGAGGCAGGCGCCGGAACCACTGAGCTAAATCCCCGGGCCAACAATTGATTGTTTTTAAGAAGTTTCTCTGTTATAATGGGTCGTTTGGCCTTTGTTTTCTGAAACATAAGTCAATGGGAAGGCTAAGGAGGAGGTGAAAAGGAGGTAAAGGGAGGAGAGAAGAACAGGAGAAAGGAAGCAGGGAAAAACTGGGAAGAAGAAGAAGAAGAAGGAAAGAAAGAGAAAGGGGAGAGGAGAGTGGAGGGCAGGAGGAGGAGAGGATACCTGCCCAGCGGTGGGACGGGTGGCTGACACTGAGGCTGGCCTGGCCCTGGTGGGAGCTCAGCGACACCTGGGCCCCTGACCGCAGGGCGATGCATTTGCTGCTCTCTGTGCGTCTCAGGAACCATTTCGGGTTGGTGGCGTTCTGGGTTGTGAGCAGAGTCAGGTTCAGCACATCACCCGGCATCTGCAGCTGGGAGTTCAGGCTCAGGTTCCCAGGAACTGGGGGCAGAAGACAGGGCTGGAGGGGGACTCAAGGCCCCCTTGCAGCTAAGCAATCACTCCTTCCTGTCTTCTTCTTCTTCTTCTTTTTTTTTTTTTAGGGGTTTTTGAGACAAAGTCTTGCTGTGTAGCCCAGGCTGGCCTCAAACTTGCAGTGATCCTCCTGCCTCAGCCTCCCAAGTGCTGAGACTATAGGTGTGCCACACCCGACTCTCCCTGTCTTCTGAAGCCCCCTCCCCCCGCCCCCGCTCTAGTTTTACTTGTCCCTGGATGGGTGTCCCAGTGAGGCTGCTGCAATCCAGCTGGAAGAGCCTATCATTGGGAACAGAAGGTGGCACCTTTCTGGCCTGACTTCCCCTCTGCCAGGTAACTTGGTGCTACTGGAGCTGCCTCCTGGCTTCCTAGCTAGGGAGCAGGGCGGGGCCTCATTCATCAGTCTCACTGCTCAGGTCCCAAGCTCAGGGCCTGAAATCTACCGTGACCCTTGGGTTTTCTGCCCATCCAGAGGAGCAGGGGGCTTGAGCCGGCTGGCAGCAATACAGGTTCAGAGAACAAAAAAGGAAGCTCTTCTTTCCCTAGTTCCCAGATTTCCTCACCAGGGGGCAGCAACTGGCAGTAGCTGGGGACGGGATGGCTGAAGATTCGACAGTCACAGGGCCGATGGTTGTGGCGGTGCGAGGGGCAGGAGATGCTGCTGGAGCAGAGACGGGCGCTCCACTGGTACCCCGGGCGGCAGGCACAGTGGCTGTGCCCCGTGTGGTTGACATTGCAGTCTATGACAGACACAAGCGGAGTGAGAGAGCCAGCGGGCGGGACTGGTCACCTCCTGGTGCCCGAGAGCTGTAGGGCTGGGTGTCAGGACCAATCCTGCAGGGCCAGGGGCCCGGCACACTCGCCCGTCAGCACCGCCCCTGCGCCAGGGCTCAGGGCACAGCGGGTGAGGTGGGCATCTGGGTGGGGTGGGAACGGCGGGACCCACACTATGTGCTCCTTAGACAACAGGGTGTGAACGGGAAGGGAGGGGCCTGTCTGGTAGGGAGGTGGGGAAGGAGCTGGGTGGGGGAGCCAGAACCAGGCAGCCCCAGGAATCAGGGAGGGGCTCCCAGCAAGTCCATGCTCATGCACTCTGAGCCCCTCCCCGCGACTGGTACCTGTGGTGATGCTGAGGCCCGTGAGATTTCTAGGGGAGGAAGCGGCAGAGGCAGGAGGAAGAGCTAGGTCTAGTGGCCAGGTCTTGTCTGAAAATTCCAGTTGGACGTAGACAGAGACCAGGATGGATTCTGCAGAGGAGAGGGACAGCTGGAGAGGCACCACAGCCCAGCCCGAGCCTGTCCCCCTTTGCCTCCATACCCACCCAGCTGGTCACTTCCAGGACATGGAGCAGATCCCCTTCCTGTCCAGGCACCCGTGCATGTGGGATGCCAATAACTGCTGTCCTAGCTGGGGTACGTGGCATCCTCCCAGCAGCTACGCACGGCGGCGTAGAGGAGGCTCCCAGAGATGAACACGTCTGGGCTGGAGCCTGTCCTTTCTCTGTTCTGCCTCCTCGGGGGACCCCCTCCCAGTCCTTCCTTTGTACCCCCCTCCTCCCAGGCTCCCATCTTCTCCTTCACTTTCTCCTCCTCCTTGTCCATCACTCACCCCCTGCTCCACTCTGGTGGTCCAGCTGCTGCCCAGGTCCCCCTCCAGCCTGACCCTGCACCTGGAAGAGAGCACAGAGGATAGGCCCTGGGGAGAGGCCAGCCCCCAGTTCCTCCTGAGGTCACTTCAAGGACCGGCCTGGCTGGTCTATGTGACTTGGTGTCCTGGAAGCTCTGCTGTTTGCAGGCAATCAAGAGTACATATCAGAAGGGGAAAGCAGGCTTCCAGGAGGAGCTGCAGGAGGTGCAACCCCAGGGACAGCACCAGGGCCTGCAAGTCCCACCTAAATCCGGAAACAGGCACACCCCGGGAGTCAACATACTTTGCGTAGCTCCTTCCTGAATTTACCTGAGCCTGGGCCTCTAGGCTAATTGCAATGGCTGGGTCTGGAGCTCTAGCAGGAGGCTAGGCAGAGCTGGCTAGGGCACAGGGGTCTGGGGACTTCGTTCTTTCCTCCGGATCTGACACAAGGCCGAGACTGTCGTCCTGTAATTCATTTCCTCACCAACACCTTCCCCTCTCCAAATTGCATGTGCAAACCTGTATGTGATGCTCTTCCAAAACCGGGTTGATACACAGGCATGGATAAGATACGGATAGATTTAGAGATTGGTAAATATGCAGATGTGTATGAAAATAGATGCAGAGATAGATTTAGATTCAGAGACAGGTTTAGAGATATAGATATTGATATCTTTACAGGAGAAGGTGGATTAAAAAGTACTAATTTAGGCTCTGCTGTCTTTCTTTAGATTCTCTCTCGTCCTCTTTGCAAGTAACTCCCAAATCTGTTATGTTTTTCCTTTTTTTTCATTTCCAGCATGATCGGAAGAGTCTTCATCTACAGTATAGCAGGTGTTGTCGGAGCTCACAGGGACTCAGGCAAAGAAAAGCAAGCTGTGGCCCCCGCCCTGGACAGGAGGATGGAACGCTCCAAACCCTGTAACATACTCGGAGACCCTATCCCAAGCTGGCCCCTTCCTTCAGCCCTTTCCCTCCCCTGTGCTATTATCCCACCCCTCGCTGCCTCTCACATCAGAGGTCCCTGTGTGGCCTCTGGAGACATCCCCGGTCCTCACCCCGTCTTACTCACAGGCTGGGATGCTGGGGCGACCACTGACCCCAGTAGGAGAGTCACGGCCAGGAGCAGCCGGGGAGCAGCCGGACAGACCATGGCTCAGTGGAGCTGTCCCGAGGAGCCCTCCCACTGTGCATGATGCAAATTTCTTTGCAGAAGAGCTGGCAAGGCAGTGCACAGATGGTGTGGGAGGGAAGAGGGGAGCCAGGGCCCGCAGACAGAGGGAGTGCTTCAGCCGGTGACTCTGAGTCCAATGACAATTCAGGTCACCAGGGCCACCTGGAGCCCGTGTGCCCCTGTAAAAGCCATATGCCCAGGCGCCCTCTGGGGTCGGACCTAGGACTCAGGGAGTAAGACAGGATGCAGGGCTCAGAGGTCACAGCCAGCAATGTGTCCATAAGCCAGGTTCGGTCACACTCCCAAAGATCTGGGGAACCTGGATTGTTCTGGAAATCAGGAAGCTGGATCACTGGCTAAAGAACTGAAATTAGAGAAAGAAACAAGGACAACAACACAACAAAATTAGAGCTGCTTACTACATAAAATAATTTCCAGATAGTCTCTTTTTTTTTTCTTAATGGTAGCAAAGTTTATTAAAGGTAGGAAAAGAAACAGGCTCTGCAGAGCAAGTTTGGGCCAAGCAAAAAGCAGCAAAAGGGGCCCGGGATTTAGCTCAGGGGTTCCGGCATCTGCCTCACAAGCACTAGGTCCCGAGTTCAATCCCTGGTACCAAAAAAAAGAAAAAAATGGAGGAAAAGAAGTACACCCTAAAGCGTGAGGGTGGAGAAAGCACAGTGGCCTCCAGATGGTCTTTTAAAAACATTTTTTATTTTTATTAGTACATGTTTGTAGTAGATAATGATTACATTCATTATGGGGAGTTGGTACATGTACAGGACACATCTTAATTCTTTATTTATCTTCTTCCCCGCTTCTCCCTCTACCTCTTGGTCTGCTTCTCATTTGCAAAAGGTCTAGCTCCCCATTTCCTATTATCTAGTGTTTATTTTGCTCTTTTATTTATATTTTGGGCTTTTCATATAAGAAAACCATGCAATATTTAAGCTTCTGTGTCTGATTTATTTCATTGAACATGATCTCAAAGTACATCCATTTTCCTGTAAATGACTCAACTTTATCCTTCTTTATGGCAGAGTGGTACCCCATTGTGTAAAAATACCACATTTTCCTTATCCATTTGTGTGTTATGCACATATTTACTGCTTCTAAGCTTTAGGGGTTATGAACTGTTCTGCAATAAACATGGGCATGCATGTATCACTGTAATATGATGTCTTTACTCTTTCAGGAAGATACCTAGAAGGGAAATAGCTGAGTCAGATGGAATTTGTATTTTTTGTTTTTTGAATAATCTCCATAGTGATTGTACTCGTTTACATTTCCACCAACACTGTAGAAGTGTCCTCCCTAGCCAAGTCATGCTAGCATTTGTTATTATTTGATATCATTTTTTATTATTTGATATCTTGATGATAGCTATTCTTTCTGGAGTAATATGGAATCCCAGTGTTGTTTTAATTTGCATTTCTCTCATGCCAGAGATGGTGAACATTTTTTCATGTATGTATTGGCCATTTCTTCTTCTGAGAGATGTCTGTTTGTTTCAGACGATTATCTTAATTGGGTCAAAATGTTGTTGGCGGTCTCATTTTTTGAGTACTTTACATATTCTAGATATTAATACTCTGTATGAGATGTAGCTGGCAAAAGTATTTTCCCACTCTGTAGTTACATCTTCATTTTGTTGGTTGCTTCCTTTGTTGTGCAGAAGCTGTTCAATTTGATGTGATCCCATTTATTGATTATTTTTTTATTCACTAAGTTTATTGGTACATTTTAGGTATGCCTTATGATCACATTCATCATTGGGAATTGTATTTTTTTTTTTTTTTTTTGCACCGGGGGATCAAACTCAGGACCTTGCGCTTGCAAGGCAGGCGCGGTGCCACTGAGCTAAAGCCCCGGCCCACATCATTGGGAATTTGTACCTGTACAGGATGTATCTTGGTTCTTGTTTTTTCCCATTCCCCTTCCCTCCCTTCCACCCCTTCCATTCCTCCCTATTTACAAATACTTTGTTTCCAGTTTTTCCTTCTTTTCTCATATTTTTTCCTTCCCTTCTTTCCTTTCCCCCACCCCCTGCCTACTTCCCCTTCCTCTTTGAACCTTTCCTTTCTATTTCACATTATCTATTGCACATTTTGGTTCCCATTTACACTTTCGGTTTGATTCTTGATGTTATTTCTTGTGCAATTGGGGTTCTGTCCAGAAAGTCCTTGCCTACATCTGTGTCATCAAGAGTTTTTAACCCATTTATGTTCCAGTAGATTAAGTATTTCTGCTTTAATATTCAGGTCTTTGATCCATTTTGATTTTAGTTTAGTTCATGGTAAAAGATATAGGTCTCGATTCAATCTTCTTATGTACATAGCCGGTTTTCCTAGGACCATTTGCTAAAGAAGCTGTCTTCCCTCTAGTGTTTATTTTTGGCCCCTTTGTCAAGGATCAGATGGCTGCATGTGCCTGGGGTGTTTCTATATCCTCAGTTCTGTTCCACTGAGCCACATGTCTGGCTTTTTTCTCAGTACTATGCTGTTTTTATCACTGTAGCTTTGTAGTATAACTTGAAATTTGGGGTTGTAAGGTCTCCTGCTTTGCTCTTGTTGCCCAGGATTGTTGAAGTTTTTTAAAAGATGGGGTCTCACTATGTAGCCCAGCCTGGCCTCAAACTTGCAGTGATCTTCCTGCCTCGGCCTCCTGAGTGCTGGTATTACAGGCATGTGCTACCATTCCCGGGCCAAGCTCAGGATTGCTTTTATTATTCTGGGTCTCTTCTGGTTCCATATGAATTTTAGGATCATTTTATGTAGTTCTATGAGGACTGCTGTTGGTATTCTGATTGTAATTGAATTAAATCCATATAGCAGCTTTGGAAATATGGCCATTTTGACAATATTGGTTCTGCCTGTCAAGGAATAGGTGATGTCTTTCCATTTTCTGACGTGCTCTTCAGTCTCCTTTTTCAGGCACTATAGTTTTCATTGTAGACATTTTTCACTTTTCCCGATAAGGTTAATTCCTAAGTATTTCATTTTTCTTGATGCATGTTTTATTTTTCTGATTCATATTCCCCTTTAATTTCTTTCTTTTGACTGATTACTCTGGGTAAAGTTTCGAGTACTATATTGATCAGGAGTGGTGATAGTGAACATTGTTGTTTTGTTCCTGATTTTAGAGGAAGAGCTTTTGATTTTCTCTCATTTAATATGATGTGGGTAGTAGGTTTGTGATAAATAGCTTTTATCAGATGGAGATAAGGTGCTTCTATACTGTATATTTTTTCAGGTTTTTTTTAATCATCAGTGGGTGTTGGATTTTGACAAAGGCTATTTATGGGTCTATTAAAATGATCATATGGATTTTGTCCTTGTTTCTGTTTGTGATACATTGCATTTATTGATTTGCCTATGTCCAACCATCCTTGCATCCCTAGGATGAAGCCTACTTGGTCAAGACGTAGGATATTTTAATTTTAATTTTATTTCATTGGTACATTTTAGATATACATAATGATAAAATTAATCATAGGGAATTTGTATCTGTACATGACATATCTTGCTTCTTCTTTTTTTCCCATTCCCTTCCCTTTCACTTCAGTCCCTCTTCACTTCCTTGCTTACAAAAGCTTTGTTTCAATTTTTTTCCTTATACCTTCTTTTGTCCCCCACCTTGTTCCCCTTCTCATTTGAACATTTTCTTCCCATTTCCCAATATCTTTTATGCATTTTGGTACTTATTTACATTTTTGGTTTCTCACACTAGAGAACCATGTCCGATTTATTTCACTTAAGAGTATGGTCTCCAAAATGTATAACAGATACTGGGAAATAGGAATGAAATGTTGAAATGAGAAGGGGAACAAGGAAGGGGGGAGGAGGAAAGAAGAGAGAAAAAAAGAGAAGAGAAGGAAAAAATGGAAACAAAGCTTTTGTAAATAAGGAGGGGAAGAGGGGTCAAAGGGAGGGGAAAGGAATGGGAAAAAAGATGAAAGACATATCATGTACAGGTAAAAATTCCCTATAATGAATGTTATCATTATGAGTACCTAAAATGTACCAATAAATGTTTTGGTTAAAAAAAAAAAGGAGTATGAGAGTATGGTCTCAAGTGCATCCATTTAGCTAGAAATGTCTTAAGCTTATCCTTCTTTATGGCAGAGTAGTACTCCATTATATGAAAAATCACACCCTCTTTATCCATTCATCTGTTGATGAGCATTTGGGCTGTTTCCAAGCTATTAAAAACTGTGCCACTATATGCATGGGTATGCATATACTGCTGTAGTATAATCCTTTTAATTCTCTGGGAAGATATTAAAAAGGAGAATAGCTGGGTCAAATGGAACTTTTAGTTAAAAAAAATTTTTTTTTGTACCGGGGATCAAACTCGGGACCTTGCGCTTGTGAAGCAGGCAGCAGAACCACTGAGCTAAATCCCTGGCTCTAGTTTTAGATTTTTGAGGAAGCTCCATACTGATTTCTACAGTGGTTGCACCAGTCTACACTCCCACCAACCATGGAGAAGGGTTCCCTTTCCCCCCACATCCCCACCAGCATTTGATATTGGCTGATTTATTAATAATAGACATTCTTTCTGGAGTGAGACGGAATATCAGTATTGTTTTCATTTGCATTTCTTGAATGACTAGTGATGTTGAACATTTTAAGATATATTTATTTGTCATTTCTGCTTCTTCATCTGAGAAGGGTCTGTTCATTTCAGATGCCCATTTTTGGACTGAATCTTTAAATATTGGGTGTCTAATTTTTTTGAGTTCTTTATATATTCTAGATATTAGTCCTTTGTCTGAGGAACAGCTGGCAAAGATATTTTCCCACTCTGTGGGTTGTCTCTTCACTCTGTTGGTGGTTTCTTTTGCTGTGCAAAAGCTTTTTAATAAGATAAGATCCCAGTTGTTGATTCTTTGTAATATTTCCTGTGTGATTTGGGTTTTGCTCATAAAGTCTTTGCCTATACCAATGTCTTCTTGAGTTCTACCTATTTTATCTTCCAGAAGATTTAGAGTTTCTGTTTTAATATTTAGATTTTTGATCCATTTCGATTTTAGTTTAGTGCATGGTGAAAGATACAGGTCTACTTTTAATCTTTGGCATGTGGAAAGCCAGTTGTTCCAGCACCATTTGTTAAAGAGGCTATCTTTCTTCCAGTGAAGGTGTTTGGCTCCTTTGTCAATGATAAGGTGGCTGAGTGTGTTTGGAGTTGTTTCTACATCTTTTAATCTGTTCCATTGATCCTCAGGTCTGTATTTTTGCCCAGACCATGCTGTTTTTATCACAATAGCT